TCCACCACGGGATGGCCGTCATGTAGTCTGCAAGCTTGTCGAGCGCGGCGGTGTCTAGGGCCGTTGTGTTGGTGTTGGGTTTGCCCTCGCAATTCGTCATGAGCGTGCCGTTGAAGACACAAGATCCAACCTCCCATCTGAACTCTGGCGTGCATCTAGACCGAGAAATCCAGTGGCCCTCTTTTGTCTGCGTCAAGCTAGTGTCGTTGTTTTCTGTAAGGGCCTTGCTGTTGAGAGCTGAAGAAGGTCCAGCTGATATAAAGTAGGTTGTACCGCTGATCGGAACCCCGTTGATGGAGGTGTTTGCCCTGCTGTTCCAAAGACGAAGAGACTGGGACTCCCTCTTCTGGACACTTACGTCGATGGACTGTGTACTTGAGTCTGGCATCGTAAAGGTGTAGGTTGCGTTTGAGCCATTCAAAGATGTTGTGTACGGCACATCAAGGGCAGCCTCGCAGTTGGCGTCCCAGTGGTACAACAGAAGTCCGTTGTAGGTTGTATTGGAGTTGAAGGTGAGATTGTGCGTGGGAATGGGGCCGATAACACCAGAAAAAACGTCCACCAGCGCGCTCTGGCTGACAATATTTCCAACAAAGGTGTACACGGTTTGGGCCAAGAAATTGTCGTTGTCGTTTAATGTTTGAGAGAATGTCCCGTTCCCATCCCACCCCATCGCATTGGCAAGTCGTCGTACGCTCGAATCGTCGGAAGGTAGGATCGGCAGCCCAATAACATCGAATCCGGGTCTATTCTCAACGAAAACCCCAGTCGTGAGCATCAGGGTGCCCACAGGAACAATGCTGGTTCGGATGACGATGAGCGCGGCTTGCATCACCACATACCACCACGAGTACTTTCCCAGAATCCTCAAAGTCCATGCGCTCGAGTCGTCGCCAATCTTGTCGAGGTCAGCTAGAGACACGGGCCTCTGAGCTGTAAGTGCGAAAAGGCGTAGATGCCGGAAGTCGTGCATGATCCATTGAACCAGCATGCCTGCCGGTGCGAGTAGGGCGGAGAGGGCCAAGCCGGAGTAGAGCTGGTTGACCTTCAACTCGTCCGGTGTTCGGAAGACTCGACTTCGGGTATATCCGCCGTTGACCTCGGGGCCCTGGTAAGTCCAGACGACGGCTGCAATAGCAGCGGCGACGTAAACCGAGATGCAAACAATGTAGATCTTCAAGAACTTGAAATCCTTGAATGAAAACATGCGGTCTGCTGTTGAGCCAGTGTACGGGTACTGGTGCTGCCCATCGTGTTGAGACGGGCCGCTTGATGATGCTGCAGACGGCTTCTCGGCCGAGTTCCGGTCTTCGTCGGAGACGTCTCTTCGAAGAGAACTGTACTCGACCCTGGAAGTCATGATGAACAAATTGTCATGAATCCCCCCTCAGGTGGCGAAGGCTTCAGAAAATTGAATCCGAAAGCTTTGAGCACGCGAGCACTCCCACGTCCGAAGGGATGCAGCGGTTTTGTGTGATCCAGCCCCCAACACGGACACGGACACGGAAACGGCTCAGCCCAGCGCTTCCAATCCCCTGCAAGCTCTGTCACTAATTTTGCTGCCTTCTGATCCTTCTCGCACTCGAGCGGGCACGATCGTCGTTGGGCTGAGATTTAGTGCAACGGGCCGCCCGCTATCTGTTGTAATTGGACCAGCTCTTGCCTTGTGGTGCGAACAAGCATATCGTGGTGCGGTTAGCTGGCCAGCCCCTAGGGCCAGCCACAATGCCTTTGTTTCGCCATCTGTTAGCCACCGCGTCAGACGCCTTTGCTTCGTTTGAGAAATTAAGTTGCAACACTGCAGATCTGACGGTTGGCGCGGCGGCGACCTGAGTTGGAGCGGTTTTCAAGCTGAGTCTGGTGATTTGATACCTTCGGATCGTCAAGGCTTACGCCGAGAAGTTCGGAGGCTCAACTTTAGCAAATGCTCGGGAGAGATCGCCATCGTCAGCTCACATGTGCATCAATCTGCTGTTGCACGACAGTGGCTGCTTACAACAGCCATAGAAGATTGCCACCCAAGGCTAGAAGTTCACCAACTTCATTATGCTGGTTGTGTTTCCACCTCATTCGGCAGTAAGTTGCTTGGAGGTGTGATGTGAAACAGCAGCCGGTTGATGTTCAACACCAGCAAAAATAGGCACAGAAATCTGCAAAAGTGAAGGGCCCTAACCAGGGATCGAACCTGGGACCTCTCCCAGATATGGATTCTGGTGAAACCAAATCCCTAAGGGAGAATCATACCGCTAGACCATCAGGGCGATTGCAGCAGACGAGGATACTACCTCGTTGCTGTGGGTGAGGCCGTGAGATTTACGCAATAAGATGCTGAGGTTGTGGGCTGTGTTGTGGAGTCACAGAAACCAAGTCCAACCCTACAAGTGTAAAATTGCTGCCTGCTCTAGATTGCCCTAGTGTGACGCACCCCGGACAGCTTTTCTACGCAGGGATCACACCAGGGATGATTGCGTCTTTCAGCTTGTCGCATGTCCTATGCCATGAACCTTCCCTGGCAATTCCAGTTTGCGGTGTTCGCTGCCTCAAGCCGCCCCATAAATTTGGTTTCCTACAACAGATAGCGATCAAAGTCAAAGGCAGATTCAGCCTGACCAGCGGCAAGCCCAGCTGTCTTGACTGCATCCCAATTCACATCGCTGATCCCCACCTCGTAATCCCAATCATGGTGGGGGTCGGCATTGGGAAGGATTTGCCAGTAGAACCATGGGATCCCTGCAGCGTCAATACTGGCAGCCCAGTTGCGAATGTTCGAGTCTCTGTTGCTAGTGCCGAGCGGACTTCCGCCGTTGCAGTCGTGGTTGGGAGCATCAGTGTAGCAAGCGCCCCATTCTTGCATGATGAGCTTCTTTCCGGCATTCTGGGCCTTGGTGACATACGGTTGAAGCTTTGACGTGGCGAAATCGTCAACACCGTATGCGTGGATGGCAAGGACGTCTAAAGCGGCGCAGCTGAAGTAGGGATCCAGAAGAGAATTGTCGACGTAGGCACCGCCTCCAGTTGTAACTAGGATATCGGAGTTTCCTTTGAGGTTGTCCTTGATCGACTGGGCCATAGTGCACTGCCACGATGCTAAAGCTGTCGGATTGCCCTGTGGTGGAAGAGAGTGTCAGTTGAGTCAAGTATCTGGGCGGCGATCGGAGTCTGTAGTTACCTGGGGGTGCATGGCCTCATTCTGCGCCTCAAACGCAAAGATGTACTCAGAGCTCTGGGCCCATGTCTTGCCGTTGTTAGGGTTGACGTGACCAAGGACGCGTGTGATACGGGTTTTGAAGTAGGCAATGGCGTCGTTGTTGGTGTAAAAGTCTCCTATGCCATACCACTTCCCATAAAAGTCACGATTTCCTTCAAGTGCATTGTAGCTGTGAATGGAGATCAGAAGTTTGATACCATAGCCATGGGCGCGGTTCATGAAGCTGTCAAGTCGGCTGAGCACTGTTTCGTCCCAGGCGTCAGGACTGTCCCCTTGGAGAGGGTTGAAAGTGTCAATGTTGCTGCCCTTCTGGCTTTCGGACTGGCCTGTTTCGATGAGTAGTTAGCAAACAGAAAAAGCCTGGAGCTCTGGAAGATTACAGGGTATAGCTACCATCAAGCCAAACGCGCAGAACCTTGATACCGGCGCTCTGGAGACCTTCGAACAGGAATGTCTGCTGCTGGGTGTTTAAGCCAGCAGCATAGTAGAGATTCGAAGCCGAAAACGATTTGGCTGCCTGACACGTCGCAGAGAGAGATAGGCCAAGCAAGGCGGCAAAGTATCTGTACGGCTTCATGGTAAGATACATGTACTAGAGCAGGCGAGTGATGAGGCTTGGGACAACCTGGGAATCTGAACGAAAGGAGTTTGTAGTTAACTTTTAAATATCATGATAATCAAGAACCACAAAGCAATGTTTTGGATCTATTGATCGCACACTGCTAGCAGAATGAGAGATCGCTGTAGCTTCTGCGAAATGGAATTATGTAGTCCCGCTCAAAGAACCATCTCTTGACCGAAAGCGCCAGCTGAGTCTGCCAACAGGGTTGGCTTCAAACTAGCAGGGAATGTCTCATCGGCTGCCACCTGACGCCAGGACAATCTACCCACATGTCTCTACGTGCATACAGAGTATTCGGGTGTAATTTGAATGTACTTCGTGTTTCTCGGCGTAAGGTGATTGGCTTTACTCTGCCTAAGGGGGCTTTCTGGCATGTCGTGGCAGCCGATGGGATAGGAGGCCTGCACACCACAATTGTCGGTAATGTATAAAACCGGTGCTTCACATGGGATCAGTTCGGCCTTTTTGTGGCGACGAATACGATGCTCAACTGCTGTAGGGAGCTGTGCAACATTGGCGCGATGCTACGAGTCATATCGATACTCCCCTGTCTGGCGATCAACTGTTGCCTGCCCCACGTTGGGGTAACAATGCGTCCTTACATGAGTGGTCTGGACTCTTGAAACCCTTCCCAGCCGAATGAGCTAGTACAGCCGTTTAAGCATGGGCGGTAATTGACATGAAGGGAAGCTCATGAGCTGTCACTGGGCATGTCGGACCTTCCGGACTCAGCGACCAGGGGATACATGCTTCAGATAAAGAAGACGTCGACGATCACAGGACGGGAAATAGCACGAGGATTTGTGAGAAACAATGGAACAGCCACGATCCAAGCACGCACAGTCGTATTCTCCGCTGTCATTGCGAAGTGTAAAAACCAGGGGTACAAACATGCCTATCAACTGCCCCTTTTGTCTCATGTATTTCGTCGACCATTCGGGCAGTCCGTCGAGGCGACATTCAAGCTTCAGGCAGAAATTTGAAGTTTCGTGTATACAGTAGGTCTTGAGCTGTGTAGAGATACTGACATCGAGGCTGGAGTCGGCTTCAGTGAACTGTCATTCTCATGGACTATTAAACCTGCATTGAACATCACGATGTAGAACCAAACAGGCAAAGCCAGCCTCAATTCCAGTTTATTTCATACCATCCCCATCCTGCTTTTTCAACATGCATGCCAACTTTCTCTTTTGGACTCTGCCTTTGGGCGCAGTAGCATTCCCTGCAGTCACTCCCCAGAGAAACAACGGGGTCTCTGCGAACATTGTGCAGCGAGCTAATTCTGCTTGGCTTGAAGTCCACACTGGGGTCTCGGTCGGTCTCGGAGGGCCAACCGTGGGCGTCCTGCCAGGACCCGTGAACAAGGCGACTTGTAATCTTCTTGTTCGTCTAGGATTCCATAATGCAGGTCTGGATGGAAGAGACTGACACATGGGGTAGATCACAAACTCCGATCACTCCCGATACAACCCGGATGTGACGTTGTCTCGCAAAGACTCGGCGCCGTGCTCCGTTGGCCAAGAACTTTCTGGTCACGATGGCCAGCTGGGTGATTTCAAAGTCAAGTGGACCAACTACTTATGTGGTACATTTGGAAGGTGTGTAACGCGGATGGCTGTCGCCTGGCGTCCTGCCACAGACACAGTACACACTGACATTCATTAGTGTCTGCAACCCGCAGTTCACTGTTCAGGGACAGACGATCAACGCATGGGAAGCTGGTAAGGCTCAACGACCTGAATGAAAGTCGATACCATTAATTGTTTTCAAGGCAATTGCAAGCACGGCACCAGCAAAGAAGGCCTGAATGCCCACGAATACTGGATGTACGTAATGAAAATGACGTGAGTGTGGACACAGACTAACACGGAATTCAGTTGTGAATACACCTTCTGAATGGCCAAACCAATGTGTTCTCAAGTCAGTTGCTTTTGGCGAGCTTACCAACCTCGAGATCACTTGAGTAAATATGGATTGTCTGGCACCGGATGTTGATTGATCGCATTAGACCCGTTCTGGACGGAGACAAGTAGACAATGAAGCAATTGACTGGCATGACGCGTTCTGGAGCAGCCGGGCAGATGTATAGCTGGCCCATCATGTAGGCTACCTAAATCCAGTGAGCTCTCTCGCCAATGCATTGTTCCGCGGTCATCCGCATATTCTCCGTGTCTCCAGAAAAGTGGTATCCCCTGCAGCGTTATGCCTGGTGTCCGAGAAGTTCCTCGTATTAGCGCAAGCCATGGGACTACTGAGACGTGTACATGCTGAGCAGGTTGGAACAATTCCGCAAGCGGCGCAGCGAGCACTCCATCCATTCCAGTGAAGCGGTTGCAAATCGTCAATGAATTGTTGTCACAGACCCAGACAATGCACTACTGTAATGCTGCTTGTGGTTTGTTTGTCTGGAAACACTGCGACTTTATTACGCCCCTCTTGCTTACGGTGGAGTACTTGCTAGCGCTGACTGTGTTCTGTGCCACTGAGTCGACAAAGATTTCTGAGAGCCTCGTGGGAGGAAGCAAAAAAAAAAAAAAAAGCGTCATGGGCTCCAATGAGGCAATAAATATCAAAATGGAGTATTACTTTGTTAACTTTACTGTCGACATAGAGCAAGGAGAAGTGGCATCGATTAGCTAAGGTGCTCGAGGCGCTGCCCAAAGATATGACTTCGACGTTGTAGGCACTTGGAGTCGACTCGTTGATGCCTAAAGATCTGTCAAACATATTGTAGGTATTGATGTCAGTGTTCTATAGTTGATAAACGCTCAAAGCTTCAAGAAAATCCAAATGAACCTTTTGTAATAAGCAACAAATATCTAGTATGTTGTGAAAAGCTACCCGGACATGAATTGCAACTTTCAGTTCCCAGATCAGGCCGTAGGCAGCTGTCTTCTAAGCCGTAGCCTCGCCCTAACAGAGCAAGGCAACTACCAAACTACACCCTCTAAGCATAATGCAGGTAATATTTACCCACTTGCATGTCAATCTGACTCCAAGGCGGGAAATAAGGAATCAGTATCGTCTCCGATCCAATAACCATGCATGTGGGTGAGCCCGTTTAGGGCATAATAGGCAACTGCAATGCCTGGCAGAGACTGTATGCCTTGTAAAACCTCGTGTTCCGCAGTCTCGAAGGAGACTGGTCAGACTCGAAATGTCCATTTGGAGTTCATATCATGCCTTCTGTACACTATGGCAGACAGGTCCTGCAGTTGAGGATTCATCTATAAATACGGCCTTAGGTTCCTAGGTTCTCAGTCTCTCTTATCACTCACCAACACACTCACAGGTCTTTTCAACCACCTCTACTCACAAATTGTCTCTCTAAGACTCTGCTTCCGCAACGTCTTGTACGTAAGACCTTTTGCAAACAGATACTGATGCCGTCATATCTAACACTCAACAGCACAAATCCAAACCATCCAACATGTTCGCTTGCCACACCATCATTGGCGTCGTCACCAGCCTCGCTATGCTCGCGGCCCCCGTGTCCGCCCGCACTTGGGCCGGCGGCGTTGACATGAACGCCGCATGCACTAGCCAGTGGGGTGTAGCGTTTCATGCTCAAAACGACAAAGGAGACAATGATGCCAACAGTGCCTACGACTGGTACTGCACGAACGGCAACGATCGAAGGAACCTAGACGTCGGTGCCTTTTGCGCTGGGAGATACGGCGGCAACGCCTACGCTGACCCCCAGGGCAAGAAGAAGTACGACTGGGGCTGCTACTATCCCTAGATTGCTCGGAAAACCTCGTGAAGAGGAGGAACCCTAGTGTGACGACCCATTGAGCACGACGGTTGCAACAACTCCGTTTTACCGTGGCGACACAGGATACGTGTAAACGGCGACGAGTATAACTAGGCTCTGGAACGAAAGAACTATTATAAGTTATGCGACTTTGGAAATAGCACGAACAGAAGTATTGGGTGTACTGGATGTAATAGATATCTATTTTATCCTAAGGAGTTATTAGATACTTTGAGTATCCAATAAAGATAGGTAGCTTGACCACAGGGAATACTTCATAGCCGAACGGTCTGACTACCCTACAGCACCCATCCACCTCTTTGCCTTGGCCTTGATAGCTTCGCACTTGGGATACTGGACTGCGCCCCTCGGCACGATGCCGTCGCTTTGGGTACTGATCAAGAACTTTCCAATTCCAATCCCGTTATTAGCCCGCATGCCGAAGAGACTGACAAGCTTCCGTTTATCCTCTGAGTTGAACCCCTCCTCAGTCGAGTTCAGGTATACCAGCGCCATGCCGATCGGCAAAGGCGCAGATGAAATTCCGAAGGTCCCTGCATTTGGATGGAAGAAGACATCGACGATGTTGGCGATCTTGGTACAGAAAACCCTAGGGTTGGTTCGCTCCGGCAGCTCAGTGTCAGGCCTCGGGCCAAGAGCAAGGCGAAGAGCGCTGTAGGCCAAAATGGAAGTCGTCCAAAACAAGGTCATGATCGATGTTATGACGACGTCACACATGGTGGGATTTTCGACACCTCTTCTTTCGAGGTCTTCCAGCTCTTCTGTCGGGCCCATGTTGTCAAGCCATCGTGTAAGTTCTCTGTCGATGCGCCAGCACTCATTCACCAGTCTACTCCGTTTTGCCTCTTTCTCGATCCCTGGCTCACAATCACGCAGTTGATCGAGATCTTCGAGTATTCCCGGAATATCAACAAAGATGTCTACTAGTGCGTCTTTGGAAGACTTTGTATGATGCTTCCAGGGTACTGTCTTCCAGATAGGATGGCTCAAAGGACATCTTTGCCGCCGCTTGATGTGTGTAATTGTCTTAGTAATGCGTTAGAATGAAAGAAACCACAAGAAGAGTTAATGAGGAGTGTTACAAGATGAACCCGCCCAGAGCAGAAAAGCTGGTGCGCGTGGCCGTCGACATGGCTCTGTGGTGTTCGCTGCACGACTAGGGCCATTTCTCCCATTGCATGACCTTCCCAGCTCTGGGCTTGAGAGATGCCCCGTCTCTCTCTATCATCTGCGCCGTATAAGAGCTGAAATGGAATGAGTGTTGGCTTTTCGCAGAGGAAGAAGGGGGTTTGGAATGCATGTACCTCGTAGAGACCGAGGATCCTTGAAGCCACCATCAGCGCATCTGACCTCCATCTCGTAGGATGCCGTAGGGCAGTGTTCAATTCACCAAGTGCCTGGCAGTAGAACTTGAGTCCCTCATCTATCATCCATACTTGCTTGTCGCGTCGGCCGATGGTTCCAAGACTAATAGCCAGCAGGCTCTGGCGCAGTGCCGCATCCGTTCGGTAAAGATCCTGGACTGTAGCAGCCCAGTCTGAATGAGAGTACCGGACAATGGGGGTTCCTGGGGTGAAAGCCGGGGCATCGGGCATGTATGTCTCCCAAAAGAGATCAAGAATCTTTTCCTCGTAAGCGGAATGCGAAAATAGGGGTGCTTGGATCGTGGGAGGCGCCACAAGGACTAGAGCTGTATTTTTAGGCTTCGGGTTGTTGGACGTGACATTGACGAAGATGCGCTTCCGTTCATAACCCGCGCACTCGATGCCAGCCTTCAGGCACCGCCCGCATACCGGTCTCTGGAGGTCGCACTACCGTACACCGGGTCAATGATCAGGCGCATGTATGATATGTGCTCAAGGGTCCTGGTGCACTTACTCCTTTCTTCCGCTTGCGACATGTGTTGCAACCCTTGGATCGTCCCGGAACTCCAACCATCCTGTGAGTAAGATCCCAGACGGGAAAGCAAGCGTTTGCACAGAGAGGATCACCCGGCGCAGGTTGCTTCTGATTTGGGAATGGTGAGCGGCCGTGGGCGCCAGAGCCGTTTTAACTACTCCGGGGCATCGGTGGAGTGACAGCGATTGGAAAGTAGGCTTATCTCCCGGCGGAGCGGCTGCATCTGATCTGTCCCGGAACAAGCACGCCTTAATCGCGGGGCCGCGGGCTTGGACGCAAGACGTTGTCGTGGAGGCTTAGAAATCGACGAATGATGCGGCAACCCCGTTTTGTCAGGAATGCTGCTAGACGATGAGCTATGCACGCTGAGATCAATGACGACGACACTTCAGGGAACACGAAAGGCGCATCCACGTCGCTGGGGACGAAGGATTGGCTTATTTTCAGCCCTGCAAACGCTCGAAGGATTCCAAGCCTCCTTAGCGATCCACTCAACCGCTGGCAAGCAAGCCACCTCTAGGCTCATTCGGGAAGCATTCTGCGCGCCGTGACTCGATTGGGTGTTTGCACCAGCTCTCTGATCTTCGCGATGCACGAACAGGCTGAAAGTTAGATGCCAAGACGGGCGTCTGGCGGTAGAATTCATCTCCAATTTCCGTTGTCTGGCACAACGGTAAATGCCGCCTACGATGTTGTCGCGCATCTTCTTTCCAAAACCGTTCAAGCGCCTCCCAGCCGTAGAGACGCGTCTGCGCAGATCTCCCATGGACGTCGTTGGAATTGGATGCAGAAGGCTATGTTTGTTACGACCGGGACCCCGATCACGATGCAGATGAAGTAGAATGATGAGGTATAAGACCAGGAGCTTCCGATTTCTATTTTTCAAATTTTGGAAGACAGCAGCTTCAAACACCGCAATCCCATCTCTAATACTCTGGATCCACCTCCGAGAAGAACAAGCATTCAAACAACGAAATTAGACTCGGCTGACAGCAATCGTGAACATGGTTCAGCCAACACGACCTCCAGCCAACGGCTTCGTTGCAGCAGCACGGAAAGTCTACAATCCACTGGGTTTCGCCAAAGGCTACAACTTCGTCCTCTTTTTCATCTTCTTCGGTGCTTTCATGGGATTTACACTAGCCCGCTTTGAGTACCTCAACTTCAGCATTTTCTGTGGACCCGGTGGTGCAGCCCCTGGGGAGTGTTTCTACTACCAAAAGCGGATCGAGCAGATCGGCATCAAGATGCACCTCGGCGCCATCCTCCCGGCCAGCTTTCTAGCTTGTTTCCAGTTCGTTCCAGTCATTCGTCACAAGGTGTTGCTATTCCATCGCATCAACGGTTATCTCATCATACTATTGTCCCTCGTCAGCACAGCGGGCATCTTCATGTTCTTGCGAAACGCATTCGGAGGTGGGATCGAGACACAAACTGGCGTCGGCCTCCTATCGATCATGTTCATCGGCTCAATGATGTTGGCGTTTATCAACATCAAGAAGCTTCAGATTGAGCAACACAGAGCCTGGATGTTACGAGCTTGGTTTTACGTATGTGCGGCAAACGCTTCAAATGTTCGCATGCTAACGTCCGAACAAGGCCGGATCCATCATCACTATTCGCCTAATTCAGATCACCGCAGCCACTGTCATCAGCAACATGGGAACGTACTATGTATCTCGTCCTTGCGACCAAGTTGCGTTCATGGTAGACAACGTGAACAGAACACTGGCTCTGTACCCAGACTGTGCCTCATACTTTTCAGGAGAGAATCCGGGTCAGCAAACAGTCGTTCATGCCGATCTTCCCGGCGCAACCTCGGCTGCTGAAGCTGGTGCAGCCGTCGGCATGGTCTTCGGGATGGCTGTCTGGCTGGCCCTGGCTATTCATGCCATCGGGATCGAGATTTATGTGAGTGTATTTGTAAATTGAAGTCACACTATCAGTCAGCTGACTTATTCCAGTTGCATCTCACACCTGCGGAAGCTGAAAGACTTCGCAATGTTTCTTATAAGAGACAACTCGAAGCTGGGCTTCATCCTGCCGGAAGAGCCGGAATCACAGCCGACCGGATTGGAGACTCTGAGAAGTGGCAGCCAGGGGATAGGCCGGGCCAGGTACCTCATAAGCCGTCCCAGGATGACTCAAATTCACAGCTTGCATCTCACTGAAGCTGCACATTTTTATGGTTCATCCGGACTTGGACGACATCCGGTCCGGACCGGCCTCGGCCTGAAGGCGGCCTGGAAAGGTGGAGAGTCCAGAATACGAGCACGGGACTCGGCGCATGAGAACGGACTATTAGTCGTAATATATTTGAGTTAACCCAACCCACCTGGTCCTTGCATTCTGCTGGCCATTCCTATGAGGCTACAGTATGATTGAATCACTCAAACTCTATTGATAGAGAACTCCTCCACTGTTGGTTAAAGCTTCAACGGGTGGATTGACAGCTTTCATCGGACATTTCCGTGCGAAAGGTTGAACTGGCATGCTGCCTAAGTCACTGAATTAAGGTCACTACAGAGAAGCATGAAACATAAGATTATTGATGGTCTTCTTATGGAGGTGCTCGAAAGTTGCAAAGCTTAAGGAAGATGTCTTCACTTGCTTTTAAACTCCTGTAGTGAGTGGTTAGCAGACTCCTCGCCTCTCGGACGGGCCGCCCGAATAGCCCCTCTGCCCCAGAACATCAGCAGTGACCACTCAGTCATCCATGGGATTGCGTCTTAACTTTAAAAAATATGAGATTCTGAAATTTCCATTAGGACCTTCAATTGCAAATCCGCATATATGAGTAGGAACCAGACCACCACCATAATTCGAGTACAGACGTAGCACTCATAATTTATTTCATCTCTACCTACTTATGTTGCATTCTGCAGAGAGCCACAATGCACTTCGTTCTACTATGGCTCCTTTCTTACTGTCTGCTGATACACTGCGCAGCTGTGGAGTCTCCGTCACTGCTACGTAAGAGAAGCCGAAAACAAAACATCGGGATTGTTGCTGGTGAATCAGGTCGCAACAGCCAGTTTTTCTGCGACAGCAACCAGGTTGCCGCCATTGAAAGATCCATTATGTGGATGAATCGATACGCTAAATCTGCTTATGACTTCCTTTATGAGGATGATTCTGAAACAACTTCAGCCTTCATTGGATGGTTTGGCGGTAAATCCATCCCTTCCTCTCTGTCTTCCCCTTAGAACCGAAGCGGTCACGAGGATATTGACCCTTACTTTTATGTACCAGCGAGCAATACCGACAAAGTCAACTATATCAGGAGGGAGGTCTACGATCCCATTGAAGCGTTGGGCTCTTCAGCTACATGGTACGTCGCCGAGCTTGAGGATCTAGAAGAGACCCTAGTCATCGGCTGCGGAACAGTTCGCAATACAGATGATTGCCGCGCCCGAGGCACCCACCTTGTTGCCAACAAATTGAAGAACACCATTGTCGTTTGTCCATCCTACTTCTTCAATAACGGAGCTGTGGCGTCAGATGACGCAGAGGAGCAATCGATGTCAACGTGGAGGCTGGAACGAAAACTTCTACCTGCTGCTGGGTTTGCTTTGCTGCATGAAGTAAGCCACATCACAAGTGTGGTTGGAGATTTCGAATATTGGACAGATGAGTTGGCTTCCACCGATCATGCCTACCCGCCGTCAGAGTAAGTGAAGACTCCCCTAGTGTTTCCGATATCCCAACTAAACAGCAACACTTAGATGCATCAAATTGCCAGACCTCAGACGTATTAATAATGCCCAAAACTATGCTCTATTTGCATTAGACGTCAGGACAAACCCGGGATATACGAGTAAGCAAGTTGATATGGATATAAAAGACCCTCAACAGTTTGCATTGAGATGGCTTAGAGCTGGAGTTAGCGGTAAAACGGAGGAGCCATAGTTGGTAAAATAGGGCTGAATGTGGGATCTGCAAATATTGAATGCACGAAAAGTTCGACATAAAACCTGTAAGCTGAACTGTCTGAAGACGACTATCCTCTTGCGTTCTGCTTCAGACCTCTCCTCCAGGATTTGCATCTATAGACGCTCGTGGCTCTTTACCATCCAATTCGCATGCATGGACAACCAGCGAACATGTTTTACGACTCGAGATAGAACAAACCTTAGACACGGCACATCTACCTTCAACCACATTAAACCAATTCCAAATGCAGTAATTAAGATCATCAAGTTGCGCAGGCTGACACCGGCCCAAGTCTCGGCCCCGGTTGGCGTGGCCCCACCTGTTCAGGGAATCGAAAATATCTGGTGGCGAAGTTTCTTTGACGAAAGGGAGTGGAAGAATCATTCATTTATTACATGCGTAGGAGGCATCTAGCCCACCTTGTTGTTTTTAGCGTGCTTGTATACGTGTTGCCGAGCTTTGTATCGATAACTTCATCATCGGTATGTTCTGTTCCAACCTCCCGGCACCCGACGCAGGGGACAATGGTATCCTGTCATTATTGCGACTAGCAACCCTCCTTGGTATCGGTGCAAATGCCGTTGCAGCAGACTTTCTCGCAAGTCTCGACCTGTGAAGAGTTAGTATTCTCCACGTTGACAGCCAACGCTTTTGGTGAGCACTGGCTTACAAAGTTCCAAGTTGGGCTGGATCGGCCAGGCCAGGTATAACACTTGACAATGTTCAGGCCTGAGCATCCCATGGTGTATTTGTCAGGGTTGCAGCCTTTGCCCTGATCCTCAGCTAGAACCAGGGCTGCGAAGAACGGGATAAGACTGGAGAAGCGCATGGTGATTGAAAGAGGTGAATTGATGTACGCCAGCTGATGAGTTGTCAAGAAAGGAACAGACAGCGTAGTAAAGGCGAGGCTGTCGCAGACTTTTAAAGAACTCATCTGCCTAAGGTAACAAAAGCGCGGTATGAAGAAGAGAGGGTTTCAAATAAACAATTACGCGGCTTTCAATACACCGCTTCATTTTCACGGAACCAAGTCCCACAAAAAACTAAAGTTAAAATCCCATTCTCCCTTTCCTTTCCATAACTTCCGCCACGAAAACCAGGTGATCTTCAATAAAAACCATACATGACTCTTCTACCCTAGCGTATGTATATAGTGCGAATGGTGTTGCGAGAATCCGTTTGGTCCAGTCCGTGGCATAACGGGGCTCTTCCGATCCAAGCTGGGAGTATGACTCGCCTTGCCTCACACCATTTGCACTTCTTTGTTATCGAACGAGATAACTATCGGCAAACAATTGTCCGATTGAAGTCATATTGTACCGTTCTAGATCGCGAACTTTGTCTTCCATGCCAAAATCCTTATTTGATTGCTTCTGTGGACATAACAGAGCTGCCCGTACTAAGCACCGACAACACTCCGACCAATGATAAATGCAGTCATTGACCAGCACCAATTTACTCAAGTGGTCAATCTGGCCTAAACCATGTTCGACAGTGACGCAAAGCCGGTCAACAGCAAGAGCTCTGTCCACGGCCGAAGAAACAAATGCATGGATATTGTTTGTTTCCCAAGTTCGAGGGTTGCCCGAGGAAGTGCACATTCTCGGGGTTCTCTCTATAAAGGAAGCTCCTGATGTTTTCGAGAAGCTTTCTTGTCATCGCGCTTCATTTTCTCTGAGGATGCCAAGAGCTCGCTACTTCGCGAGTTCATTTCATGCGGCGGTGTGAGGCGCAGTGAGGTTATGCAGATGACAGGCTCCACCGGCTACAGCGGCATTGGCAAGGCAGAATGCTTAGCGTCGAGATGTCTAGGCAGGACGGGGTCAACAGACAGCAAGCTTCCTCTATGTCGCTGGCGGCCTCTCAGATGGCTATGCGATGTCCTTACGTTTGCTTCAACTTGGCTATGAAAACCCATCCATTAAACGTGTATTGTTCTCATTCCGGTGCAGATACTCACGAGCATTGGGCTTGACGGAGTTCTTGCCATTATCTTCTTTCCCAACAATTCGTGAACGACCTGCAGTATGTTGTTCCTGAATCTCGGTTGTATTATCCACCCACAAGATGCTTTCCAATACCCTTCGCTACCTAAATTCAGACACTTTACGCGTCTCCCCCTCCATATTAGAAAGATGATTTGGGAGTGCTGCATCGAGACCTTCTCAAACATTTGCATTTCACCATCAAATCTCAAATTGGACATCGTTCCAACACTGAAGATTCATAATCCTAATTCCCCACTGTTGGCGACCAACACCGAGGCCCGCCAAGTCGCGCTTCTAAAATTGCCCCGAGCTCGGCTTTACAACCCAGAACAAGACATACTCTACCTTGATAGCGACAACTTCTACAACTTCTGTCAGGCATGCGGTCGAGTTGAATGGCCTTCCGCCACAAAGCATCTGGCACTTGCTCTTCCAGTCACCGACCGAGGACTTTGGCTACCGATGGCTATGAAATACTTGCCGCAACTGCAATCCATATCGATTGTCCTGCCTGAAGCCAATAGGATAATAGATAGACTCGAGCACGTCGAGGTTCCGAAACCAGCATTCAGGGTCCTCAGATATCTCACGGATGGCGAGAAAGATGATGTTGAGATAATGGCGGATTATTGGGCCGAGGCATTTGACGAATGGGTTCATATTGTCTGGACGAAACGGCTAGCAGATTTTGTTGATTCGGTCAAGGAAGACTTCAGTCTGTATGCAAAACGAGAGGAGGCACCTTGTTGGAGCGATGAAACGAACAATCTCAGGATTCGATTTGATGTGATGTGTTTTGCGGAACTTGGTGCGACGAAAATCATGTAGCGAGCGAGAAGGAATGGGTTATATGACAACTTGAAATTGAACTCAGTCTAACCGGAAGACAGCCAATACGAACGGCACATCATTTGAGCTATATTAGCCCAAGCTTTCATGGAACAACGACTCATATGCCGACAGCATCTCCTGATGCAATTATTGTAGTTATTCATGGTTAAGTTTTGTTGCAGTCCACGATCATCAACCTCTCTGGTGGTATTTAGGTTATGGAAAAGATGGTGTTGCTTGAGGTGCCGTAAAAATGGTGAGCACAAACAACACTCCGGGAGATATCGTTGTAGCTGATGATGGTGAAGAGCTAGGAGGTTCGTCCGTCGTTGCCGATGAGGAGATAGCGAGGGTGCTGGAAGTCGAAGAGAAACCATCTGATATAAGACTCTGGAATGTTGTCTGTACCTCCAAAGGCGTAGTCTGCGACTCTCCGGCAGAGGTTGGAACTGATGTTGTGTTTGAAGAGGGCGTTGTTGTAGAGCCTATCGATGCCAATGAAGATGTGGTTGTTGGCGAGACAGTACCAGAGCTTGAAGAAGTACTCAAACCCGAAGAAGTACTCGAGCTTGAAGAAGTACGCAATACAGTAAGCGTCGAGCTGAGAAGCACGCTAGAGCTTAGCAATCCATCTGTGCTGAAGAAAGCTGTGAAGCTACTGTTTGAAATAGAACTGGCACCAGGGATAGAAAAGGTATTGAATGGCGTAGTTGGCGTTCTGCTTGAGGGTCCTCCTGCATTTATGGATGCTTGTGAAGTATTGGTGGTGGATCCTATGGAGAAGCTGCTAGATGGAGAGATGGATGTACTTATGGTGGAGAGCCCAAAACTAGTCGAAGACGAACTGACGCTGTTTGATGAAGTGGAACTTGTCGACAGCACTAAGATTGAATTTGAGGAAGACACAGCGATAATGGGTGATGACGAACTCGAACTGCTTGACGTGCTGATCGTCGTAGATGCGGATGAGATGATGGTCGAACTTGACGTAGAGAGCGCAGTACCAGTTGGCAATGAGGTAAGACTGCTTGACGGGTCGACAGTCGTCGTTGTCAGTATAAGGCTTGAGCTCAAACTAAGCGATATTGTAGCTGTAGATGACGTAGTTGATGAGGTTGAGAGTACAGATGAAGATGTTTCTGAAGCGCTGAGCAGTGTGGACGAAGTGGTCGAACTGGGTAAAATATTGTAAGAGTATTGAAGGATAGCCGAAGAGCTTCGGGTAAGGTCAGCGATGACTAATGCAAGCCAGAAGGGCTTCATCATGACTTCAGTGCCCGACGGCGATGGAAAGTCGAGAGTGATTATGGTTGGGATGGAAGACTTCGCGAGTCCAAGAGTAAGGCGTCAGGGGGTCAGAATGTCTAAGTCACCATAATCACCAACTCTTTAGGGTCACATCCGCCAGAGCTGAGAAGCTACCTTCAGCTACCCGGAATGCTACCCAGACTGTCGGGTTCGCGAGAACGCAATCAAACACTCAGCTGGTCTCAAGTCTGCCATGTCTTTTTTCTGGTCCAGGCTGTGCAACTATTCTCTCCTAGTGGTCTTGTCCGTCTCATCTGATACCGAAATGGATAGGCAGACGGTAGGTATAGAAAAGTATCCGCCAAAGAAGCCACATTGGCGAAGTCTAAGCATCAAAAGTCTAAAAATGCAGAATTCAGGAATATGTCGTAATAAGAGCTTCCCAAGAAACCCGATCGGCGGTAATGTTATGTGACAGCCATGTCTTACTCGCCAATTTGCAACATCGCAAGGCGGGCAGCCACCTGTTGGTGTCGGAAATGATGCTGCATTCCTTACGAGGCCAGAAGAATGAAACCTTGCTGAAGGGTGTTTTTTCCATCTTCAAGTCAACGCCTCTGATTCAACATAATTTTTTCAAGGCGGAATTTACCTGTACACAGACCCAAAAATATGTTCATAGACGCGGTACTGCCTCTCCTGAGTCCTCACGCCTCGGGCTCATGTTTCCTGGGAGATGGAACGCGGGGAACTTGCAACACAGACACAAGAAGAGGCGATAAACTAGGAGAGGAGATGGTTTCAATCAGACATCATGGCGCATAGAGCCAGCAGCCGTGCCCCCAGCAGCTATCATCGACCGAAACATAACAACAACCCCTGTGCGCCATCGTATGCGCTTCCTGAATAACGGGTGCGTGAACACACAGATAGACAGAGAGAGAAGCGCCCACTCAAAGATAGCTTTGACACTCAGGCGATTGAGAGCTTTCAAATCGTTCAATCGCCCCCCGAAACCTCCTCTGCTTGACTTAATACGAGCTGCTAGTGATGAAATGGTTCAGTACGTGCGCGTGTGGCATGCCGCGAAGGAAAGATTATGTTGTCGGAGTCAACGAGCACCCCGAGTGTAGAAATGTTTATAATGAGCAGTGTATGGACTCGTCGGCTACAATCAGTTCTTCTTTCTGGTCGTCTGGCTCAAATTACAGTCTCCTCAAGTTAAGTTGTCAGAAATAGTATGAGTCAGCGAAATTTCCTTTTCTGCCTTCTTCGGGAAAGAAGAGAAGCATCCGGACCTCTAATTAAGTTTTAAGAACAATAGGATCGGCGTCTTAGACTTTACCGTGCGGAGCACCGAAGGGCTCTGCCTAGATGATAGTGGTCTCCATTGGATGGTAATTCTGGGTAGCCTTGTGAACAGCGCCGGCAACTTGGGAGTTGACGTCCAGACGAGTCATATGAGATGAACAACCTACTTTGTATGAATTAAGCATAGAAAAAGAGAGGGGCAGTGCTATGGTACGGGATCTCAATCTATCAAGAACCCACAGATTCTCGGGGTCTACTTAAACACGTCCTGTTCCTTTTGGTCCGGTATTCGTCGCTTCAGAACTCACCATCATTGGAAACCTGACACACCCTCTTTTGCTCATTCGATCACTTTCACTCATTTACACAACCATGGTCCGTCTTACACTTGTTGTCATCGCTCTCGGTGCTGTAGCCACTGTCACGGCCCGTACTTGCCCGGGCGGCTGGATTAACTGCTACTACGCCAATGGAGAGAGATGCACCGCCGGCTGCAAGCACGCCTTTTGGGGATGCGGTTGCGACGACAATAAATTTGGTTCGACACTCAACGACTCTGAGTGCACGAACGCTTTCGGCGTGGATTATCCGGATTGTTGATCTTGTCATGTAGGCAGTTTCTTGTGCGAAAGTTACTCTAGACGGCCGGGGTAAACACATAAAGGAATTTCCTTCGACTAACGGTGGGAGTAGGCAAAGATTATCCCCATGGAGCTGTCCGTACTAAGAGCGTTATTATTTCCCGAGAATACTTTGAATGACAGCATTCGTCTCTCATCCCACTTTGCTCGTTTCTTTGGAGAAAAAAATGACAATTGCGAAGAGACGAATCAAGAAAAAATGGTTTCCCGGCGATTGCTGAACTGTCAAGATGTTTGCATCATTCGCGTTCGAGGCCTTAGAGGGGAGGAAAGTGTACGATAACATAGGGATTGATACATAGCGCATCGTTCATATATGTGCATTGACGATAATTCATAGACGAAATCTTCAGTGGACCTTATGATATCGGACGTCAGAGTCAGAGCCGGAGGCAGACTTGTCCTTTCCCGTCCGAGGTGGTGGTAGTGAGCCTTCAATCTCGAGCCAACACTCCTGTACCTACCGAAGAAGAACCTAGCTCTCACCGAATCTCAAGGGCATGAGATTTGAATCTCACTTGATCCAATGATGAATGAAAGGCCGAATCCGATAAACTCAGGCCTCGTGAGCATGCTCATATGGCCGCTCGTGGATCTCAGCCAACCACTATTGCATGGGGTGGGGTACATCTGTGTGTTGCAGTTTGATTGGGTCCGAAGATGAGCGGCGGACATAGCTCAGTTGGGAGAGCGTCAGACTGAAGTATGGGTCTCTACGGCCCATTGAAAACTTCAATCACTTAATCTGAAGGTCGTGTGTTCAATCCACACTGGCCGCATCTTCACTTTTTGACAACTTTGAGGACTCTCCTATTGTTCTAGATCGACTGGCTGCTGCTGGTGTGTGTGTGCGCGCATGATGCGCCCAAACTTGCGAGAAAGTGCTGGCATGACTCGGATGAGTCTTATCTCAGTTCAGTCTCTTTTTTCTGTCGAATGCTGCGCGCAGTCACTCATGTTCCGTATCTATCAAACCCACATTTCCCTCGAAACTTGTGGCCTGGAAAAGTTAGCAAGCTTTCACTACAGCTACAAGGACAAGCACACACGGAAAGTCTGTTGCGGGGAGAGGGCCACGTCGATCCCCGATCGGCCACTAATACTGACGGGTAGCTTTCCCGTGCTGCTGGAGAGACACAACACCAAAACAGTACTGTGTAAACTTACGCCAAGCGCCGCTGCGATTACATGTCTCACCCAACGACGCACCAGGGAGAGCCATCTCGTAGATCTGTGCAGATCATTGCTCGAAGTTCTTCCCTTGATCCAGATTCATAGACAAAACATCTTGAGGATTTCCTCAATCCGGCACACTGAATGCCCAAAGCAAGCGAACTAGCAGCAACAGTGAACTCATCCACCCAATTCCTCCATGTCAAATATCGGATTTCAGAGCTTGAGCGGGGAAGTGACCACGAAGTCCGATGGCGTGCTGTGCTTCGTCAGCTTGTTCGCATGTGTTGTGCACATGTTTGACAACAGATAATAATCAGTGCAGCTCAGCTCTTGTCTAACACTGCGAGACATGGCTCTGCTCGAAGCACGAAAACAAGCTGTGATTGACAGTCCAGGGTCCAATGACAACAACCCTGTATTCGATTACGGGCCGTCGCGCATGCGCTATGCTGCGAGCCGGTGAGACAAATAACAGCCATTGCAAGACAGTTGACGCGCGAACGGATGGATGAGGAATCCCGCAGATATTCGGGGTCTTCGAGCTGCCTTGGGAGGACATCCTGTTGCTATTTAAGTTAAGAGCTGGAGGTCTCCAATACTGGACCTCCTCCGTCGTCCTTGCGCCTACCACTTTTCGTTTGCGAGGTCCAGCCAGCATATCACAATGACGGACGCTATCCCCATTCCCCTTGCCAAGGGAGGAATCACCTGGCTCGGCGGCAACAACATGCTTCAGTTCCTCAGCAACTCCAGTAACCCGTGGCCGTTTTTCAAGAAGCTCGCCGAAGACCCGGACCACTCGGAGATCTTTAAGGCCAAGGTCGGCCCAAAGACTGTCGTCTTCATCACGGGTCACAAACTTGTGGAAGAAGTATGCAACGAGAAGCGCTTCCGCAAGCAGGTGACCGATCCAATCAAAGAGATCCAAAAGTCGGTCCATATCGCGCTGTTCACGGCGTTTCACAACTCTCCAGAGTGGCCGGTCCACCACAACATTATTGAGCCGAAGCTCAGAAAGGAATCTGTCAAGGATCTCTTTGGTGACTTCCTCAACACGACGAATGAGCTTTTCGATATCTGGAGAGACCTTGGTCCCGGGGCGGAGCTTGAGATTCTGATCCAGCTGGATCGACTTAATCTCGAGGCGACAACTCTGTCGCTCTTTGGAAAAAAGCTCAACGGCCTGAAGAAGAGTCACCCCATGTTGAAGGGAATGGACGATTCTACCGGGGAAGCCGTCCAACGACCAACCAGAAAGTACATGCCGTGGAAGATGCCCTTTTACATTGGGAAGCTCACGAAGTCCACCGAAGTCATGAGGACTTACGCACAAGACCTGATTGATCACAGGCGAAACAACCCTACCGATCGGAGGGATCTTCTCTCAGCCATGCTGAACGACACTGGAAAGGATGAGGATGACAAGGATGCTATACCCCGAAAGCTCCACAATGATTCGAAGATGGATTCTGAAGTTGTCGATGAGATCGTGTCGATGCCCATTGGGAGCAGCACCGCCCCCTGTGCCATTAGCTGTGGCATCTACCACCTCGCACAGCACCCAGAGATCATGGCCGCAGCTCGGAAAGAACTCGACGCTGTGGTCGGAGACTATGAGCTCACTTACGAAAACGTTGCCCAGTTGAAATACATCGAAGGCATCGTCCGTGAGTCACTGCGCCTTTCCTTCGCGGCACCGGGCTTCAACATTGAGCCTAAGCATGTGAAGAATAAAGATACTGGCCCGATAATTCTTGCAGGAAATCATGGTAATTACCAGATACCCTACAACCAGCCAATGATTGTCGTTCTGGCTGGTGCCAATCGAGACGAGGCTGTCTTTGGCAAGGACGGCGACAAATTCATGCCCGAACGAATGGTCGGAGAGAAGTACGATGCACTTCCGGCGGGAGTCAAGAAATACTACGGCAATGGTCTGAGAGAGTGTATCGGAAAGCACTACGCGTGGCTGTGGCAAATGGTCGTGATGGCGAAGTTGATCAAGGAGTTTGACTTTGCTTTGGCTGACCCGAACTACAAGCTGCATCACTACGGGTGGTTCAACGAGCGGCCTGTGGACTTCTGGGTGAAGATTACCCCAAGACAGAGCGCCAAGAAGTACTCCTTGTAGAGAGCCTATGTACTAGGGATCCAGTACGATATCTAATGGAGTCATGACGCAATTGAAGACACGTTTCACTGAATGCTGGTCACGTTTGTTCTGGCATTACTTATTATTCATTATCAAACTGCATCACTTCTTTCAAGCAATGGTAAGAGTGAACGAAGCCTCATCAGGCTTGCTTCCCCTCTTAGACACACCACCCTGCGCCAGAGCAATCTCGTTCTCAGCATCGTTGGCAGCAAAGAAGGCAGCCGTCGCGAAAGGAGCGCCGAGCATGCAACCGCCGGTGTCGATATTGAGCGCGCAGAACCCAGGCGCCGCATCGGCGTTGTTGCGGACATAGTTGCGCAGGGGAGTCTTGATCGTGACCTTCTTGCCCCCGACGCCCTCGAACTCAAGGTCGATGGTCAGATCCTTGGGGATGGAGTCACAGCTGCCGTTCCAGGCAGTGTGGCCGATAGGGTCCCGGGCGAGACCGGCCGCGGCGAAGAAGGCATCAATCGCGGAGGAGCTAATGGGCAGGTCGTTGATTTGTGTACCGGAGTCGATCATGCAGGACCTGGTGCTCAGCTCGCTGTTATCGAGGGTGACGTTCTTCACCTTGACGGTGGGGGGAGCGACGAAGTAGCCGACGGAGGCGCCGAGACCGTCATTCTTCACGGGGGGCACCTTGACGAGTTCGCCCTTGTACTTGGAGTGGTCGATGGCGCCGAAGACGGCGTTGCCGGTGAAGGTGCCGTCCCAGTTCTCGGGGGCCTCGTCGAACCAGATGCTCTGGACGGGCGCGCTGATCTCGCCCCTCTCGAGGAGGTCCTGGCGGACGTGCGGCCCGGTGGTGTTCCACTCGGCAGTGCGGTAGAACGGCGCCACGCCGAAGATGCCGAGATCGTAGACCCCCGCCGAGCCGCAGGTTCCGTCCAGGTTGGCCGGGAGGCGCTGCTGCATGTACTCCGCGATCGCGACTCTGGCAGCAACATCTGAAGAGAGACCCGCGTCGCCGGCGAAGTGGAACGTGTCGTTGACGCTCACCTTGCCCTGCACGATCTTGGTGTAGCCGCCGTACGCGAACTGCGAGGGGAACGGCTCGGGCTTCTGCGCCGTGGGGCTGTTGGGGTAGTCGTAGAAGGGGTCGACGGTGACGTTGCATTTGCCCTGGCAGAAGAAGGCGGTGCATCCCCAGTTGTTGATGGCGTCGGGGCCGAAGACCCAGAAGTTCTCGGAGCCCTGGTCGAAGACGACCTCGACGGACTTGTTGGAGTTGGGGTTGACGAGGTTGGTCGCGATCTTGTGGCCGCCGCCGTAGTAGTAGTGCAGCGGGATGTTGACGGTCGGGATCGCGGCGAGCGCGGTGTTGGCCAGGGCCGCCATGGCGAGGGACTGGGTGCGCATCCTGTCGGTTGAGGTTTACTGAACGAGTGACAGATGGAGGACGGAAGCGTGAAGAGAACCCTCTGGTGAGAGAGGGAGAGAACGATGCCCTTCTTAACGAGGCTTTAGGAGACGCTGCCGCTATTCCCGTCCACGCCCTACGAGGTCGCGAAGGCGGATATGAAAATTGGGGCATGACAAAAGCTATTTTGAAAGAACCGGGAAGCACCGAGGGATGGATCACATCGTGACCACGACCAGGTCCGTAACGAACTTCCCGTTGCAGGATCGTGGAGCGGCGATCTTCTCGTACGCTCCGCCTAAACCTCGACGGTCCATGCTAACCTGCATCCCGCGGGACGCAAAAGAACCTTCTTCGTATTAAGATTGTGACAGCTTTCACATAGAGTGCTTAGATGGGGTTGCAGTGAGGCCAGTGGTGGAATCAACGGTGCTTCTAGCGGCCGGCGGACAGCGAAATTAGCTCAATGCGCGCCGATTTGCCAGCTCTGATGAAGACCAAGGAACAGGTCTGTAAACATTGTTTAATAACAACATACCTAGACACGGGTCAGTATCAGGTTTCAAAGAGTCTTTTGAACAAAATCAACAATTGACGATACCTTTGATCATCTGTTTCTCACGAAGGGCTTGGGGTAGTTCGAGAAGCAACTGTCTCCTTTGCGAACCGAGGCAATGAACCAGTTCATCTGGAAAACTCGGGGGCCAGAAGCAACAGGAGACATGAACCCCCTGGAGCCCCTCTTTTTAAGCCGGGTTCGGCAGTCGTCCGATCTCTTGGATACGAACTTTTTGGCGGAGAACAAGGCGACTAGTACAGGGTCACCCTGGGCCCTTGGGCCATTCATCATGATGTCAAAAAATTTGGACGTGGTCTTGTTGCGAAGGCGAGCAGCGGGTCGCAGTTGGCGGCTGACCCTGCCGAGAAAGCTTGTCTTCGCTCTTGGCCGTCGTATTAGACAGCGGCCGTCTCTAAAGCCGGGGACAGACGGTCCCTCACTGTCGAGAGTCTTCTCATCTTCTGTTCGCGAGTTGGTCTGCCACGAGACACCGGCAGAATGAGACTATCGTGGATTGCGAGTGTCAGCGCTCTGCTGTTGAGCAGTGCTGCCTCCAGCCATCCGACACAGCGTGATGGAGCCATTCATGAATCCGTCTCTCAATTGCCTCGGGGATGGAGAGATGTAGCCCCGGCAGAAGACTTCCTGACCGTGCGACTGTCTATCTCTTTGAAGCAGCCCGCGTTGTCTGAACTCAAGAAGCGTCTCGATGTCACCAGCGACCCGTCGCATCCCGACTATGGCCAGCACGTCTCTCGAGATCTCGTGGAGACCCTCCGCGAGCCCAGTCTGGATGCCTACCCGGTTGTCGCATCATGGCTGGAGACGTATGAGATCCACGACTTCAAGCTGGACGGCGGGTGGGTGCGTCTGAACACCACCGTCGGCAAGGCGAATCGCCTGCTGGACTGCAGGCTTTCCAAGTACCAGTTCAAGGGCGAAAAGCCTGTTCTCCGTGCCAAGGAGTACACCGTCCCGGCCCGTGTGGCGGAACATGTCGACTTCGTCTTCCCAGTTACCCAGTTCATCAACAAGCCCCCAAGGAGACAGGATTCCGTGCAGGAGCTGAAGAAGACGAAGCGATCCAGCAGCTGTATGTCCTCCCACCCAAGTCGCAGTTCCTCAAGACTAACCCATTCTCAGTGCCTCAAAGCTGCTGGGACTACACCACGCCGCAGTGCATCGTAGACCTCTACAACATCAACTATGCTCCTCCCAACGGCCCGTCCCCCACGGACTTTGGCATCGCAGGATTCCTGGAAGAGTACCCCAACGTGCCCACCCTACAAGCCTTCCTCGCGTCGTACAGCCCCCGCCGGAACGCCACCGGCTTCTCGCCCAAGTACAACCTCACCGTCGAGTCCATCAACGGCGGCAACACCACCACCGAGGGCGGCGGCGTCGAAGCCCTTCTCGACATCCAGTACAGCATGCCCTTCATCCAGCCCATGAACGTGACGTACTTCTCCACCGGCGGCCGCGGCCCCGAGATCGGCGACGACGGCAGGGAGAAGACGCCCCAGGAGAGCGGGGACGAGCCATGGGTTGAGTTCCTCGAGGCGCTGCTCGCGCGGGAGACGATCCCGCATGTGATTTCCATCTCGTACACGGATGATGAGCAGGCCATCCCGCTGCCGTATGCGCGCAAGGTGTGCGACCTGTTCATGCAAGTCGCCGCTCGCGGCGTTTCCGTCCTCGTTGCGACGGGAGACGGCGGCGCCGCCGGTGTGCGGTCTGGCAACTGCGTGTCCAACGACGGGAAGAACACCACAAAGTTCATTCCCACATTCCCCGTCGACTGCCCCTACGTCACCGGCGTCGGCGCAACGGGCAACTACCTGCCCGCCGAGCCGGCGTGGTACAGCTCCGGCGGGTTCAGCGAGTACTTTGAGCGGCCCGCCTGGCAGGAGTCCGCCGCCAAGGCGTACATTGACCGCATAAACGGATCGCACGCTGGGTGGTACGCGGCGGGTGGACGCGGGAGCCCTGATCTGTCTGCGGTGGGCTCGCGGTTCTTGATGCAACCTGGATGGACGCAGAAGGGGACCAGCGCGAGCACCCCGGTTGTGGCGGCGATGGTTGCGCTTGCGAACGACAAGCGCATGAGAGAGGGCAAGGCGCCTTTGGGGTTCTTGAATCCTCTCCTTTACTCGGACAAGCTTCGCTCTGCGTTTGTCGATGTGACGAGCGGATCGAGTGGTAGCTGTCCGATTGGCGACCAGGTTGAGAGCGGATGGTTGGCGACTGCGGGGTGGGATCCGGCGACGGGTCTGGGAATATTGGACTTTGCCAAGTTCATTGAGGCACTCGCATAGTATTCAATGACCTCGGATAATTTAACAAAACTCTTCATTCATACCGCCGTTTTGGTGACATTCTGTGCTCTGTTCCCGAGATCTCTCCTCCATATCCTGTTCGACCTATCCGATACACCAGGCCAGATGGCTCTAGATCCAGACAACCTCCAGATAACTCTCGTACTGCCCTCCGACATGGACCAACTGCTGCGCGGCGTTCTTCGGCTGCACCGCTAGCGGCTCAAATTCGGGAAGACTCATCCCGTTCCCGGAAACCTTCACCACGAGCTGCTCCCCAGCATCGAACTGTATCGCTGTCGGCCAGACCCAGATCTCCAACTTGACAATCTCCCCCGCCTTCAACGGCTCGTCGGTATCGTGCGCCAATGTCTGCCAGTACGCCTGCGAGTACTCAGGCGCGACCTTTCTCCTTGACGCCCGGAGCTGTCCCGTCGGCCCGAGATACTTGAGCGGGTTGATGTTGGGCACCTCCTTCGCGTCGGCGACGCCAAGGTCCTCCAGCGGCATGTTGACGTGGACCAAGTCGTTGCCGCTGGTGTCTCTCTTTCTCAGCTGCACGTAGATGTCGAAGTCCGTCTGTGAGGGGCAGGAGGTGTGGATCACCAGCTTCGTCGGGCCGGCCAGCTTGGTTGGTTGCTGGAAGGTGTATGCCAGCTCGAGCCTTTCGGTGTCTTTGTACTCGAGGGTGCTGGAGGTAGCTTCGTTCGCCAGCTGGAGAGACTTGTTCTGCGTCAAGTAGAGCTTCTGCACATTAGTGGTAGGGGTGTAGGGGGCCAGCCACGGGAGATGGTCGAAGGAGAGGTCGAGGATGGGCGGCTTGTTGTAGCCCAGGACCGCGAGCCGCACCGGCGGGGTCTGTTCCCATCCATTCTCAATGCCCTTAAGGTAGCGGTCAAAGAAGCGTTGCAACTCGTCGACTCGCGATTTGCTGTAGAGGTCGTACCATTCCTGAGTGGCGTGAACAGCGATCCTAGTCATTGTTAGAATCAGCTTTTTGCGGCAGTTCTCAGTACTCACCATTTCTTCTGATGGGGGATCTCTTCGAATCCTCGGAAACTACCAATGGTGTGAAGCATGGTCGAGAAACTGGCAAGGATGTATGCTGGGACTTCAATCTTGTCCATGCGAGCCCTCTTGTCGTCCCAGTACTCCCTGCAGTTGGGGAACTTGTCCAACATTGTAATATTGTCTTCCATCATGTTCCGGCCTGTAAAGCCCGTGTAAGCACCAAATGAACTGCCGCGAGAAAGGCTGCTGCCTACCATTAATGACATGATTGATCATCCCCGAGAACCCCTTGTCCGGGATGCCTCCTCTGCTCAGCGTCTCTCGGAGATGGTCGCTGCAGCCCTCGAAGGGCGCGATGCAAGCCAAATGAGGCGGTCGCTCAGCAGCGATGAACCATTGGCACAGCGCGAGCCACGAGTTCCCCGCCAAGGCGACTTTCCCGGTACACCAGGGGAGCTTGGCGATCTCTTCAATGGCGTCGTGGCCGTCTCGGCCCTCGCCGGTGCCCCAGATTCTGATGTCGCCCTCTGAATCACCCACGCCGCGGGCGTCGGCGTTGACGACGGCATAGCCTTTGGGGACCCATTCGGCAGGGTCAAGTCTGCCTCAAAATGTAAATTCGTGTTGAAGAAAGGATGCGCAGAGGGGAAGAACAGACCCTTCAAACGACTCGTAGCCCGAGAGCTTGCTCAGAGGAACTCCAGCTGTGAGAGGGACCTTGTCCAGGTTGAGAGCCCCTACATCCACAAGTCAGCCATCTTGCACCATACAGACTTTGAAAAAACTCACCAGTTCCAGTCTTTCCATACGGAGACCACATCAACACGGCCGGGACTTTGCCCTCCGTCTTCGGCCGAAAGATGTCAGCCCGGATGCGCACGCCATCCCGCAGCGCCAACAACTGGTCGCGTTCAAGGATGATGTCGCAATCCAGCGGGCGACGATCCGGGGTCTTCTTGTGGCCGGCGGCAAGCTCCACACGGGTTGGCTCCTTGGGATGCTCCCACGGCGGCGCGGTCGCGGGGCGCTGCAGGACCTCGATAGAGTTGACATAGTACGGCGCCATCGTCGGGATATTTTTGTAGAAGGTGATTAAATTCGTTATCAGTCCTAATTCTGATTAAGGTTTGAGATAAGTCCAAGGGGCATCTTCCTTTCTTATACGGGCCGAGCCATCTTGACATCTGATCCGCCTCCTCCGCGTTGTGCATGTAGATGTGCTACACCACCGACTTGATCTTGACGGAGACAATGTGGGCACGGGTGCCCCCTCACCGGCAACACATCACGGCAAAGCCGTAAATCCGTTGCTTTTACACCGTTTGTCGAGAAGTCGATTAATCTAGAAATTCCCGCCTCAGAGTAAAACGAGATCATCGCATGAAGCCCGCCATCGCCAACGGGGACGGGGTCATCTGAGGCTCCTGAACACATGGGCCCTGCCATCACACCAAGACGCGGGGCAGGGCAGTCCGCGGGATACCACGACAGAAAAGCTTAGAGTTTCCCCCGCATCGGAAGTTGCTCGTGCGACAAAGACATACCTAGCAGTAGTGGGCATCCCTTGTCGGTCTCTAGGTCCCGTAATGGTAAAGAGGGTCCCGAGTCCCGAGGCTCCAACGGCGTGGCGCGGTGCTCAGACGGACACTTTGAGAGTGCCGCTCGCCGATTACTACTCTTGCGAAGTTCGCGAGGAAGTCGCACGTTTGCCAAATGTCCTGTCGCCGCCGGTTTTACGGATTTATACCTGCGTTCTGTGACACAACGGCCGGCTTGGCTGTGTGTCTCCGACGTCCCACCGCCTCCCCGACAATGTCCATAGTCCGGGAAAGGGGTTCGGCAGCGGGAGATGTGGACGCTAGATGTAAATATGGAGTGCTTGATGCTGTAACACTCCATTGAGGTATCGCATCTCGAAGCATTTCATCAGCGCATCTTTGTGATCTATTTTCTCACAGTTACCTTCAATTCGGATTGCAGCCCATCAATCACCATGTCTCTGCCCTCAAAATCAACAGCGCCAGCCCTCTTCGTCGACCAAGACTGCAACTACAAAATCATCCACGATGTGCCCGTGCCCGGGCTCGTCCCAGGCGAAGTCGTCGTCAAGGTATCCTTCTCAGGCGTCAACCCGGCCGACATCAAGCACGCGCCGCACCTCGGCGTCCGGTCCACGGTGATGGGCTACGACTTCAGCGGCCACGTCGTCGGCGCAAACCCGGGCTCGCCCTTCAAAACCGGCGACGTCGTGGCCGGACACACGCCGACCGGCGTTGGCAAGCCGTGGAAGTACGGCGCCCACCAGGAGTACCTCGCCTGTCCCGAAGAGCTCCTCTTCAAGGTGCCGGCCAACCTCCCTCTGGACCACGCAGCGGCTCTCACGACCGTTGTGGCGACGGCTGCCGACGGGCTGTACAGCATCTTCAACTATCCTCTTCCGGGAGACCAGCCCGCCGCGGGGTTCACGCCAGGGCCGCTGCTCATCTGGGGCGCGTCGACGAGCGTGGGGCTGTGCATGCTGCAGCTCGCCCGCGCAAGCGGCGCATCCCCCATCTTCGTGACCGCATCGCCGAAACGGCACGCCCTACTGGAGAAGCTCGGTGCGACGCGCTGCTTCGATTATGCGTCCCCGGACGTAGTCTCGGCGATCGAGGCCGCGGTGGCGGAGGCGGGGGCGCGGCCGATTGCGTACGCCGCCGACTGCGCCGGGTCGGTGGGCGAGGACAGCTCGGCGGAGCAGATGCTGCGGTGCGTCGGCGCGCATGCGAGCGTGCTCTCCGTGGTCGGCGGGAAGAACAAGCGCCTCAAGATGCCGCTGGCCTCGGCGCATTCGCCGGTGAAGCTGGCGTTCGGGGCCGAGCCGACGGTCGAGATCCCTGCGAGGCCAGAGGCGGCGGCGAAGATGTGGAAGTCGGTGCACTGGGCTGTGGACAACTACGGCACCAAGTTTGAGTTGCCGGTGGTGGATGTGTTCAAGGGTGAGGCCGAGAAGGCGCTGGAGGAGGTGAAGAAGGTGGCGGTGCTGGGAAAGTTTGGCAAGTTGGTGTTGGGACATCCGCTGCTGTGAGTGATGAGTGAGATTGCGCTCTGCTGCTTATCTTTGACGGAGTTAGATAGCGTTGGAGCAGGCATGTTCCCGCGATCGAAGCTATCGAGATACGATATCCAATAATTACGATTGTTTCTCTCGGGCAATTCCGACTCAATCAATGCATCATGTGACAACCTACCAACAACATGGACAACATCAACTACCTAGCATACAGCTTCATGCAAGTCATCATTAACATCAACAACCACAGCAGCAACATCACTATCAACACACGTCTCAGCTAACCTACCAGGTGAGATCTTGTAAACAGTAAGGCTTCCGGGATCGGGCCCTCCCGCGGCGGGGCATCATCGTGCCGTGCGCCTCGGCAGCTCCAGACCGACGATAAGCAGCAGTTCCCGGCCAAGCTCCGGTCGAGCGCCGGTTACGTCGCCGGCGACTTTATCTCCCGCCTATGACCGTCTCTGAAAAGTCAAACACCCCACAGCATCCCACACCGGGTCGGCAAGACGAACGCCGCGCTCGGCTGCAGACAATCTGCTGCTTGCATGGTCAGTCATGTCTGTTCTCCATTTGATGTCTGCTGGGTCTGGTTCGTCCCACACATTGCCACCAACAGAACCGCCCAGAAGAACCCGTCCCCTAGAGAATAGACGAACAGTCTTTTGTCGGTCAGTCATCGGTGGCGCTCCACATGCAATTCCCAGTCTCTTCACCAGGAACTCTTCCAGTCCCAGGCCAACAAGCACCCAAAGGCGGAAGGTCCATTCTTTTCTGACGCAACAGCGGGGATTCCGCACGTCTTTTCGCAACGGTCTCTGCGACTCGTTATCCGGGGAAACAGAGCCACAGCCGAAGGGGAACAATACCATTTTTTTATCCTTTAACCGTGTTTTCCTCACCGTTTCCCTGTTCACCTTTCCCTCCCCCTTCCCCTCCCCTACCTCCCCCCTCTCTGCCTTGACGACCTTCCCGGTTCTGTCAATTAAAAACTCTACTTGAGCCTCCTTCACGCGCTCTCCATTGGCGGCGCCGTAGATCGCGCAATTGCATCCTCACCTTCCGTAAACGTCCTCCGTCCCAATGGCCGCAGATGAACGGACGCCTCTCCTCAAGTCCGGCGCCGGGGCCGTGAAGCGGGTCGGCCGCGGCCTGTGGTCTCCCGCGAACCGCATCCTCTTCGCCGGGTTCCTGGTCTCGCTCACCCTCGGCATCACCCAAGTCCCGTACGTGAGCATCCCCTCTCTCTCTAGAAACCAATGAGAATTGACATGCCAGTCCAGCATCATCTACGTCTTCCGCGTCATGGCCTGCGAGCAGTTCTACAACACGCACCCGCCCTTTGACGGCCCCGCTTCGGAGCAGTGCATGCGCCGCGAGATCGACGCCAACACGGCGCGCCAAGTCTCCATCCTCGGTATGACGACCTCCATCTGCGGCATCCTCAACCTCTTCATCTGCGGCGACCTCATCAAGCGCTGGGGCACCCGATGGGCCCTCGTCAGCCAGACGGGCTTGCTCGGCATCCGCGTCGCGTGCCAGATCGTCGCCGTCTCGGCCGGCGGGCAGCGCGGCATTGATTTAATGCAGTACACCCAGCTGATCGGCATCCTCGGCGGGCCGCGGGGATACATGTAAGTCTGACTAGTGCTCTATAGTAACGGGACGGGGTGCGCTAATGCGGAACGCCAGGCTTGTGCTGAACACCGCTGTTGCTGAGGTGGTTGAGAGAAGAAAGCATACGGGCGTCTTTGGAAGGCTGCAAGGCGCGGTCATGATCGGCACTGCCATTGGCTACTTGCGTAAGTGCGCATCTCGAGAGCATCGTGGGCTGTGGCTAATTCATTACAGTGGGAGGAGTTATCGGGGATGTCTTCGGCATTGTGAGCCCGTTCGTGTCTGCCGTGGGCTGCTTCGCTGTTGCCACGACATACGGCGGCATCTTCTGGCCTTCGCCGCCTGAAAACGATGATGAGGCGAATGGAAAGACGACCTCGGGCGCATCTGGCTTCTTGGCCCCGATTAAAGTCCTCATGCCGCAGAAGTACCGCCTCGACAACGGCAAGATTATCAGGAACTACGGCCTGGTCTTCCTCGCCCTGGGTATCTTCTTTGGCGTAGTACGTTCATCCCCAGCTCATCTGAGTGCGACAGTTACACTAACAGCGCGTTATAGTTCGCCACGGGCTACGCCCCCATTCTGATCCAGATGTACGCAACCTCCCGCTTCAACTTCGGCACCACGGAGAACGGCATCCTCATGTCCGGCAACGCATGGATCCGCGGCGTCTTCCTGATGTTCATCTTCCCCGAAATCATCGACGGCGGCAGGAGATGGTTCGCCAAGTCCACCCACGCTGGAGCTCTCCAAAAGACTCTTACTGAAGAGGAGCGAAACTTGATCCCCACCCATCCCGAAGACATGGACCCGGCGCCCGGGCTGATGAACGCCTCGGAGCCGACGAAAGCACCCCCCGAAGAAGAAGATGAAGATAGCACATTCGATCTGTTCTTCCTCCGGTGGTCTCTAGTTGTCGATGGCATCGTGACGTCCCTCGCGGCTTGGGCAACTGAGGGATGGCACGTTTATCTGGGTAAGCAATACAGCCTATATTACATACGGCCTCTTGGACTAACATCCCGGCAGCCGCTTTCCTGTTGCCGTTCGCCTCCGGGTCCGCTCCGGCCGCCAAGGGCGTCATCACCGAGATGTGCCCACCCCACCAGCGTCAAGATGCCCTGAGTGCAGTCACCCTCGTAGAAAGCGCGGCTACGTTGACGACGCAGGGCCTGTTTGGTCTCATCTTTGCGTCTTTAGCGGCCATCGGCAAGCCAAACTTGACGTTTTTCTGCAATGCGGTGAGTGTTTTTTTATCCAAAAACTTGTTTGTAAAGTCGCTGATCACAGTCTAGGCCCTCGCCGTTGTCGCCGTCGGTGTCTTGCTTCTGGCGCATTACCCACCACCCGACAGCGTTAGAGTTGACGAGGAGACTGAAGAGAGTAGTCCACAGGAGTAAAAGCAGAATGCACACGCGTGGAGAGCCAATCATCCATGCACGTCGTCGGGTGACGTACTCGACCAACTGCCGGTGCCGATAGGCCGGCCTGGGTCTCGTTTGGTAGATGAGGACAGACAGCCCTCATGTGAAATGCCGTTCCATTCATCGACAGCGACTTCACAGTTAACAGTCACTTATTATCCAAACGTCTAAAAAAGCTTCAGAGCAAGATAGAAGCTTGTTGATTGGGACCTATGTAATTAGAGCAACTGACACTGGTATGCATGGCTCAGGTGTATCTTTAGATGGGAAAAGTTTTGTTTCGTGTTATTTCACTGTTTATATCATTGCACACTCTTCGCCATAACACCAATTCCACGCGGCTACTGACCAAAAGCTCCGGAAGGCCGTTCTAGACCTTCAAAAGATTATCAAACACCGATACCCATCGCCGATGTCATCCCGGAGTGGGTTGCGGCGGGGGTGGGGGCTGTCATCGGTCTTGGCTCGGGCTTCGAGTCCATGACATCAGCGGGCCGTGGCCACCCGTTCGCAGACATCATCGAGCGTGTTCATGCAGATCGGTGGTTTCGCCCCGAATCTGTAGTTTCTGTGTCTCTTGAACATGGACTTTACGGAATTCCATATTGAAAGATGGAGATTCTGCCGTTGCCCCGGACAGCTCTCCATCGTTTCCAGCTTAGCGGGAGCATGCCCCGGCACCTAGCCCACGTCTTCAAGCTGTCTGCCCCGCAATGAACCCATCTCAACATCCATTTTCTAACCACGATTTGCGATGAAGAGCCAATGGCCACTGTTACTCAGCCAATGAATGCCGATCAAGTGCTCTTCTGGAACAGAACGCAAGTCCATCGAGTGGTCAAGCTTCCGCTCCAAGCGTCATTGACTTCAGAATCCCGGCTGCCCTAAGGCGCGCCCTAAGGCTTCTTCGGAATAGCTTCCACGCCACAACCACCGTGACAGCCCCGGTGTCTCATCGCGGGACCTCACTGTAGTAATATCACGTCCCTGATTCGTTGCAGCTGCCGGAATGTTTGAACCATGTTCATCTGCGTCATGGCGTTGACTTTGATCGTCCCGTCGCCATGGTCGCCACACATAAGACGAGGGCCAAAAGCCCGGCCAGAGGCGGCATGTTTCCAGCTGCGTCTCTCGATATAAGATCACTTCATCGCATGGTGGTATACCCCAAATGGATACAGTCCAAAGAATCATCAAACATCCCATCGACGCAGCGCAAAAGACGTTCAACATGGGTTCCACCGACACCTCATTCCAGGCCCACGTGGCCTCCCAGTTCAGCACCTACGAGAAGGACAGGCGGATGCAGTCCAAGGATGCCATCTACGCCACCAGCAACGGCGTGCCCATGCCTCACCCGTACGAGACGCAGCGATGCGGCGAGAACGGGCCGTTGCTCCTGCAGGACTTTCACTTGATCGACCTGCTGTCACACTTCGACCGCGAGAGAATCCCGGAGCGCGTAGTTCACGCCAAGGGCAGTGGTGCACACGGCTTCTTCGAGTGCACGAACCCAATTCCCGAGCTCAGCCAGGCCGACATCTTCTCGACCAAGGGCAAGAAGTGCCCCATCACGGTGCGTTTCTCGACGGTCGGAGGAGAGTCCGGCTCGCCTGATCTCCAGCGCGACCCGAGAGGCTTCTCTGTGAAGTTCAGGACGGAGGATGGCAACTGGGATATGGTGGCGAACAACACGCCCGTCTTCTTTCTGAGGGATCCCGCAAAGTTTCCTCACTTTATTCACACGCAGAAGAGGAATCCCCAGACCAACCTCAACCACAACGACGACTCGTTCATGGTAAGTATCATATGTGTGTCCCACATACCCAGTCACTAATAACCTACAGTTCTGGGACTACTTGTCTCAAAACCCCGAGTCTATCCATCAGGTCATGATCCTCATGGGTGACCGCGGCATCCCTGACGGTTACCGCTTTATGCACGGCTACGCAGGCCACACACTCAAGCTCGTCAATAAGGATGGCGATTGGGTTTACGCCCAGATCCACATGAAGTCCCAGCAGGGCACCAAGTTCATCACCCAAGAGGACTCCCTCACCATGTCTGCCGACTACTCCGGAAAGGACCTCTTCGAGGCAATCGAGAAGGGCGACTACCCTAAGTGGTCCGTCGAGATCCAGACTATGACGCCCAAGCAGGCCGAAGAGGCATGGGAGAACGACAAGATTAACGTCTTCGACTTGACGCACGTTTGGCCGCAGGGCAAGTACCCGCTCAAGAAGGTGGGCGAGTTCACACTCAACGAGAACCCCGTCAACTACTTCGCCGAGGTTGAGCAGGTTGCCTTCAACCCTGCACACATGCCCCCTGGTATCGAGCCTTCAGCCGATCCTGTGTTGCAGTCGCGTCTCTTTTCATACCCAGACACGCATCGCCACCGCATCGGCGTGAACTACCAACAACTACCCGTCAACGCCCCGCGAACCGGCTTCAACGTGGGTAACTTCCAGCGTGATGGTGCCATGGCTTTCTTCAACCAAGGCGCCAGGCCCAACTACCTCAGCTCCGTGGCACCCATCCAGTTCAAGAGCCGCACCGTCGACTTGGACAAGGCGCATGGTCACTTCACCGGTGAGGCTATTACTTTCTTGTCTGAGATCCGGCCCGAGGACTTCGTTGCTCCCCGCGCGTTGTGGCAGAAGGTATGGGATGAGCCTGCCCGCGAGCGCTTCATCAACAACGTCAGCGGAAAGATGGAGTTGTGCAAGGATCAAGAGCCACTGAAGAGGCAGATTGCCATCTTCAGAGAGGTTGACCCCGAGATTGCCGAGAGGCTGGAAAAGAGCACTGGCATCCCGGGGTACGAGGGCATCGCCAACTTGAGGTTTAATGGCACTCACAACGGTTTTGCCAAGGATGAGAAGAACAGGTATGCGAACGGTATCAACATCTCGCAGGGTAAGAGTGTGACGGCGAACAACGGCGCTCCTGTAACAGGGACACACAAGGCTGCCAAGGGCACTAATGGAGTCGGAAAATAATGATACAGATGATATCCGTAGTAATGTCAACAGTAATTCAATTTCAAGTTGATGGTGAGATTTTTCTACATTCAAAAGCTGTGTTCTTAATGCGGCCAGGCGTATTTGCTGTTGCCTGCAGGCAGATTGAGGCAGTGCAAAAGTGCGCTTTTGGTTGGACACAAACCCCCGCATGGTACTCTTGAATGCAGCCCGCGTGAACGCCTTACTGAGGGCATTGGCTTAAGGGAGATCAGATAATGACAGCAATGCGAACTACTTCATATTTAATTCACGGCGAATACGTTTATCTTGTGGATGATGTGTTGCGATATCCACGCTCTAGCTTGCCTCAGTATCCATAAGTTACCCACACTTGTCCTTCAAATCGCTACTCGTAAATAACACGTTGGAGATTTTGTTATCAACGGTCGTAATGGAGTTTTCCCTGCCATCAGTGCTGAGGGCTTTGCAGGGTGTCGCGAATGCGACGAAATCCACGGAGGAGGACTTGGGCAAAATCAACTCCTACTTCGCAGCATCAATATCAGAGAACAACGATACATCCCCGCCATCTACCATAAATACAGAAGGAAAGACATTCGAGCAATGGATCTCATTCATCAAAAGAACAATGTCAGAGCTAGACGAGACCTCCCTTCACATCGCCTACCTATCCGTCGCCATCGCTTCTGTCCGAGAAAGATGCCGCCAAAATCTACTAGCAACAACGGAAGATCTCGACCAAATCTGGGACATAATATACGCAGCGCTCACAAGCAAAAGTCTTGCCAAAAACTTCTTCACAGCGAACCGCAGCGCGCAAGGCCTCCTCGCAGTTCCTCTCTGCAGCCTTCTCAAAGGCGGCAGCATCGATGAGCTCTTCCGTCTGCACGTCTGGATGCCGGACGGCAAGCGCGCGAACCCGGATTTCATGCTGCATTCACACCAACCTTTTGCTCAGAGCTGGATTCTCGCGGGTGAGGGTCGCGATCACGCATACCAAGTTGACGCCGTCGATGATGTCGACGATGCGACGAATGCGGGTTACGCCATTGCGTGGAATGACGGAAAGGGGCAGAATGCGACGTACAAGACCCATCAAGCCTATTCCATTGTGCAGAATACAGGGAACCTATTCAAGGCCGTCGAGACCTCCACCGAAAGACATGTGCGGAACGATACGTACTCTATTCCTGCAGCTGCGTTTCATACCACAGAGGTAGCGCCTGACCAACTACATGCAACATTGTTCTTCTTCGATTCTCATAGGGGATTCGTGAGGGATGCTGGGGTGTTGGGACCAAAGGACGGGGAGTCGTATAGGCAATTTCGTGATCCCGCTGGGATCACACCTGCTGAGTTGGCTACAGCTGTGGAGGAACTGCGACGCCAACAGATAGTCTCCTAACGTGATAGTTCGATGGCAAGTTGAGCCGGGACACGGAAGGTAGCTTTGTGCTTGACAAATACTTCGAATGGGGGGTTTAAAGAACGAAACGTGCTCCATATTTTGTAATTTTCCGATACCAAGATTTAGATTACAACATATTTCTCAAACCATTAACATGGCCCTGTTCTGTGAAGCCCGACGTTTATAAAACCTTTGGTGTGGCACAGAACTGAAAAGCATAGAGCGTAATACAGGGCCGTGTTGCCAGAGGACAAGTTCCTCGCTAATTCTTGACAACTTCGACAGAGAGATCAGCAGGCCAGATTGGCTGATCAACACCGTTGCCTCTCGTGCCAACGTTGAATTTCAAGTCGACAGCTTTGTCGGCGTACTGGGCAACAGGCTTGACCACCATGAAAGTTCCGTCAACAGCATTCGACCTCCGCGGCTCTAAGAAATGTTCTTGGAAGAGGGTGTCCATATCATGTTGGTAAAGAAGCTTCCCCACGGCTGGCACCGTATACGGCATAGCATGATAATGCCTGTATACTGGTGAACCATGGCGCTTCCACAGCTCCTTCCATACTGGCTCCGGATACTCACCGCAAGAGCGGATAAGCCACTGAGTGTAATAGTTCAACGCAACCTTTGTCGGTCAGCAGGTATTGGGAAGAGATTTTGGGCAGACTCACATCAACGCCATAGCTTCCTCCCCTCTCCGCCCGTCTCATCAAGGCGTCCAGAACACCAACACTGCCACAAATGCTAGCACTATCCAACTGTCAGCTCAAGGCATTCCTTTGGAGAAGGCAATTCCATTACCCGTAGTCAGCCACGGGGAAAGCTGGCACCACAGCCTCATCATGGCCCATAGCCCGACCATAAGCAGAAGAAACGCCGCAGCACTAAAAATCAAACGTCAGTGCAGTCCTCTCACCGAAAAAAGTTGTTCTTGACTCACCGCGTCGCTAACTTGTTGCCACCCACCACGACTCTTCCAAGGACCGTGCCACCCGTAGCAGTTCTCGCGGAGATGGATGATTCCCCGAGTGCGGTCCTTAACCATGTCGAAGATGTCCTCTCGACCGAAACCGTGCTTTTGCATCACACCGGGGCGGTAGCCGTCAACGACTACGTCTGCATCTCGAATGAGGGCCCTCAGCTTCTCCTTGTCCGCCACACTATTGAGATCCAAGTGGCAGTTCCACTTGCCCCAGTTGAGATCCTGGTGGAGGACGGACATGTCGGTAACGCAGGGGGACGTAACGCGCATCACACTAGCCCCGAGCTCAGCGAGGCCGCGGGAGACTGCGGGCCCTGCGATGATGCGGGATAAGTCGACGACCTTGAGGCCTGCGAGAGGCCTCTTCGGTGATGAGGGAAGATTGTAATTCTCAGGCCACCACGTTCCCGTGTGAGACGTGTTGTTCCCGTTGACGATCTCGTAGAGCCCAACATGTGCGACCGCTTTGCCTTGCTCGCTGGCAAAGTACTCCTGAGATGACCACGCAATGGACCCCTCATGCTTATTCTTCTCGTTAAGGAGCTCGTCGAGTTCCTTCCAATTGTACTGCGCAACGACCTTCGCAAAGCGCTCGACCACAGCGTCGTACGTGTCGATCGGCTCGCCGTCGGCTGGCATGCCGAGGGTCTTGAGGATTGGGTCGGGGTTAATGCCAGCTGCCTTGAGGTTAGAGCCGTCTTCATCTCATTGAGATCGCTGACTTACAGTGCATCTGGTAGCATTTTCCGTCCTTAGTCTTGTAGATGTTGGTCGCAAGTTGTCTATGAAGGCTCGCAGAGCATCTATGGAGATCTGTATTGGGGAACATCTTCATCACCTCGGGCAAGAAACCCGCGACCGCCATCGGGGTCTTTTTGCCGTCGTCTCCGATCAAAGAGGCAATCAGGGGCGAGAAGAAGAATAATGCTGCATGATCGCTAGCGATTCCAAGTCAGCATGCTTCTCGGCACTAATTTATAGCTCTTGGCCTCACTTACGTGTCGATAGTGACTTCTGCTGGTTGAGCATTGTACTTTTTCATAATCAACCGATTGACCAGTGTCGCCTCATACGCCTTCAATGCAGCAATGCTTTCCGCGAATTTCCAATTGACGGGGATACTGGGCCTGCTGGTGCCCTCGAATTTGACATGATGCCCGAGAGATTTGAGATCGCTCGGAATGTCCTTCATGAGCGGGTTTTCCAAGATTCCAGCGATGAAGGCTGCCTTGGCCTCTTGTGGCACCGAGTAGTCTGCGAGGGAGCCCATGATGCCGTGTGATGTCGTCGACTGTGAATACCCTCGTCAATCGCTATCAATTTAGTCGGTAAGTAATGACAGGCGAGCTCAAGCTCGGGAGCAAGCTAGCAGGAGCTCATCTATGCTTTATCCTGCCAGCTCCATGTGCCGAAGCGGAAGGACCGCCTCGTGAGCTCCAAATCGTCTCATCAACGGCGTTAGCTCTCATCAGACTGTCGCTGAATCGTTCCTTCACTTCCATTTCCTGAGGTAAGAGACTCACGGGCCTCGTCCCATACTTCATAACGGCATCTTGGAAGGCTTCTTCTGTAGGCTAGGACAAACAGTTCGGAGTGCTGCTCTCCCCGGATTGAAGGCAGCACATGGCCTGGACTTTAGCATTCCAGAGCGCATTCAAACGCATGCGCTGAAGAGCTTAATGGAGGGAGTCTGAGTATTTCTCTCTACTTCTCATTGAAGCTGGGGTAATCAGCGATTTGTTTGCATCGAGCTTCTGCCAGCCCCGATGCAAATCATCGGAGTAGCCATAGCTGCGGAAAGCGGCTGTTGTTACGCGATATTTACCTTCGGGATCCTTGACGAGCCCGGATTCCGCTTCAACCATTAACTCAACGTTTTCTGGCTGGGTTGTGGAAGCAGAAGCGTGTCGCAAAACGTTTGGGTGTATGCAAAGCTCGGTGTCAACATGTCGGCTCGTGCGTGGTATCATATCAGACGAAACCTAGACAGCACTCGCGATCCTTCGACAACTGTTGCTAGAAGTAACGTGATCACGTGGCTCTCTATGCGACAGATAACGGCTTGCATGTGAAAAGGATCGAAGATTCAGCCTCCGTGAGGTAAGGTGCGAACGTGACAGCTGAGTCCACGGATCGGTCAGTTCCTATCGGTACCCAATCGCTCAGTCTGTCTCATTTATAGCTCTACTCTACCAGTCATTCATCATAAGTTAACCTCAGCCACGGGCTTCTCAGACTTCTCAAAGCTCTTCATAGGCTCTAGGCCCCAGCGGCCAAACATAGCGCCGTCCTCGTCCCAGTTGTTGCAGTCTGTCGTCAACATCTTCTCTCCCGTGAAGATAGCGTTGGCACCGGCCATGAAACACAGCGCCTGCTTCTCCTCCGACATCGTTTTCCTTCCAGCGGCAATGCGGATGATGGTGGATGGCATAATGATACGTGCAGTCGCGATGGTCCTCAGCATGCTCGTGAACTGGATCGGTGTCCTGTCGCCCAATGGAGTACCCTTAATCGGCACAAGCGCGTTAACAGGGAAGCTCTCGGGGTGCGACGGAAGGGTCGAGACGGTGTGCAATAGTCCAATACGGTCATCCGACGACTCTCCCAATCCCAGGATACCACCGGAGCAGACGTTGATACCAGCATCGCGAACGTGGCTCAGTGTCTTGAGACGCTCATCGTAACTTCTTGTGGAGATGATGGAGGGATAGAATTCGCGACTGGTGTCGACGTTGTGGTTGTACGCTGTCAATCCAGCCTCCTTGAGCTCCTTGGCCTGCTCGGAGTCAATCATGCCGAGCGTCACACAGACTTCCATTCCCATCTCTCGCACGCCGCTGACCATGGCCTTGATGTTCTTGAGACTGTTCTTACGGCCGCGCATGTCACGCCAAGCGGCGCCCATGCAGAAGCGTGTGCTGCCGTTGTCCCTGGCGGTGCGTGCCGCTGCCAGCACTGACTCCACGCTCTCGACCTTTTTCGCCTTCAGGCCGGTACCGTCAGAGTAACGAGTGGACTGGGCGCAGTAGGAACAATCTTCGGTGCAGCCTCCGGTCTTGATGTTCATGAGGGTACAGAGCTGGACCTCAGCGGGGTTGTGGAATCGACGATGGACGGATCCCTGGGCAGAAGAATTGTTAGCAGGGATTCGAGTGCGTGACGAAGTGACATACGGCTTGGAAGGCCAGATCCATCAACGGCTGATAATAGATGGCGGAGATCTCTTCCCTCGTCCAGTCATGTCTGACTCCAGTTGCGTTGACTGCCCGGCGCATGATCTCTTTGGCCTCCATGGCCCGTTGGGCGGCGCGGAAGCTTGGGTCCTCGACCGGTGGCGGCGGAGCGGGGGCAACGGCGATGGCTTCGGCAACGGATGACATGCATGCCCGGGACACGAGCGGCATCGACCGCCTGCTCATCTGTGAGGAGAAGACATTTCTTTCGAGGGCAGCTCGTCGCAGGCCCCGTGTGACGACGTTCCTGGCCACAGCCATTGTGTTGGTTCTCGTTCTGATGATTATCGTGTTTCTTGAATCGACACCTTGATGTACTGGCGTGACTGACGCGTCAGGAATAGAAACACAGAAGCCTCGGTGTTGTTCGGCAATTGGCTTTCCAATGGGAAGATGTATTGCTTAGCCCGGTTGTCACGGTCCGGTTCTCTCCCGTCAATTCTGTACCGCAAAAGCTTGAAGAAAGGTCAAAATCAAGAACCAGCTGTCAAAGAGCTTCGACTCGGCATTGAGAATGAGGGGTGAGGGGTTTTGTAGCTTCAGGGTTCACACGTCTCGGGAATCGGTCGATCAGCATCTCTTCCCCCCTTGCCAGCACCAAGAAAGTGACCGAGTAACCGATCAGGCCCAGCAAGCCAGGCCGGTGCTGGCTGGCTGGCGCTGGAAAGCTAAGCCGGCGGTTAGCTACGGTGGCATGTCTGAGTCAATTCAGGAAGCACTGCTAGGAGGTACACCGGCATGGTAGCTTCGGCCAAGCGGATGTGGCTCCGGGGATTGGTGGAAACGGGTGGAGAGGTTGAGGGATGGAGGTGAGGGGCAAGGGGCAGCGCAGATGCAGGTCATCCAGAAAAGAAACGATACAATAGGGCAATTCCGCTCGCACAAGCTCTCTCGCGGTCGGCACGTTGATGCCACCGGGTGGAGCTGTGACTCGCTGAGCTGTTACTGTTGACTTTCTGCCAGCCCCCCAAACCCCAACAAAAGTGACCGCGGATCCCGCGAAGAAATGCCCGACCGCTGCTAACTTCTTAGCGGAAGCGAGGTCTTCATTCGGATCACCGAGTCCATCTTGGTTGAGCCTAAATGAGGATCGCGCCCCAATATTTGAAAGTGAGTAGTGAACAGACAGCTTAACAGCAAGCAGCAATGCGTACGTCATGCCCACTCATTCAGATGGGGCCTGAGGAGCTCTATCCCTGTCCCGTTGCAGGATAGCTTCAGCAACACGCGGGGCATGTCAAACAATTGAGGATTCAAACTGGCGTTGAAGACTCTTGGCCAGAGTTGGCTCAACACTTACATGTTCTATTCTCAAAAGAGGCCAAAAGCTTCTAGGTTCCATAATCTACTCGATGAAACTTCTACTTATTATTGGAATCTAGAGTGCAACCGATGTGGATCAATGAGCGCTCCACAAATCGCTCTCACCGTACATCCCGCAACCAGAACGCGCTTTCTCCCCATGCCATCTCTCTCGCGAATATTCAGTAAGTAGTAGCAATCTTTCACAGACGTTTCTGTTGTTTTGTAATTTTCTCAGACTACTTTCCTCGGAACTTCACACAGTAATCCGCCAACCTGATCTCCTCCTGCGAAAATCCCAGAAATTCTTTGTAGATACCTAAGTGATAGTACATGATCTTGTGGGTTTCCAGTCCCTGAGAACGGCCAAACTCCCAGTGAGGCTGATATGGGATATCGTTATCGATAGACGAAGGAATGAACAAGATGTAGCGTCTAAGCCATTCATCATAGCACATGTTCGTGCAGAATTAGCTCAAATCGCTTACTTTGCAGCCGCTCGGGGAGACGCACTTCAGTTCTCTGTTGTAGATGCAACGCCAGTGCCCGTCTTGGGAACCCATGAGCGTGGGATGAAGCCGTCTTTGGAAAAGGTCTTCCAAAGCCTCATCGCTGGTGGTCTCGCCACTAATCTTTTGACCCAGGTCATCAAAATTGCCATCTGATACCGGTCTCTCATCGTTCAGGACTGAGGGTGAACTTGCAAGGTTCGGGGGAGCACCCTTTATCTTCTTAATGGGGCTTGGCGCAATCTTTTTCTTATGCCCGTGCTTGTGGTAATTCTGTTTGCGACGGAGCGACGGGTTCCACGGCTCCAAGCTCGTCTGGTACCGAAGTCGGCGTAGTTGCCCTTCGACTTTCATAGATTCTCTCCTTCGCAGAGCTCGACTTTGTAGCAGTTGCTCTGGGTCGGAAGCGGCGACATACCCAAGCCCTGCTTCAGCTGCTTGATGTCTTCCCCAAGCTCGGTGCGATAGCTGCGGGTGTGATCAGACTCCATCGCGATGGTCGAAACTTTGTCATCAGCCATTCCATTGACAAGCCTCCGTGTGAAAGCCGAAGGAAGGTCTTGGATGAAGCAGCTCTCGATTGCAAGGTTAATGACGTTATCGGTGAATGTTCGCAGCACAGATTAGAAGAGGAAGTTAGCCACGGAATCAGGTAGCATGTCGATCAGGCTTACATCCTTAAAGGTTTCCATAGCGTCAAAAGTAACACCTGCCCATTCCAGTGTGATAATGGAGGAACTGATGTAAGATGAGATCGTTGTGCCGAAACAGCTAAGTCTCCGGCTTGCGGGGCGGTGCGTTTAGCAGTCTTCCTTCCCAAAGCCTCCCGGAAATCAGTATCAAGAGGCAAAGCAAAGAGGTCTCGCAGCTGAGCTTTCTATGTATTCCATTGAAGCCACCAAAGAACGGATCATCGTAGTGACCCCGGATGCCGTCGCGAGCAACCTTCTGAAACCTTTCAGCTATTTCCACGGGTAGATTTGCATGTCTTGGGGTGTGCTTTTCGGTTTTCCAAGCCGAACCACCTCAACTTTGCGGTTAGATACGCTTTCTTGAATGTCCCCCAGAAGCGCAGGAACACCGCTCTTGATGTGATGCAGCACGCGGCTCAGCTTCGCCTGGAGAGCACGTACTCCTTGATCAGAGGCAGGAACTGAACACCAGACATCAGATTCAAAGAATCTCCCCTTGTTAAACTTTTGCGGATCGAGACCTTCGTCGTCATTGTGGTTGCCTAGAACGTGCCAGCCAAGGCCCAAGTTAAGAACAGCCTCGCGGCTTCGAGCAATTCTCAGATACCGGTCCTCCTTGCGGGGACTCTGGCTGAGTCAAGTCCGGCTTGGTGATGACTTGGAGGGTACGCTGCCTAGCAAGATGGTACTTCGCTGCCTCTTGCAGGATGGATTGACTTTCCAGTTCGTTTTCGGCGGAGATTTGAGGAGGCTTCAAGTACAGTGGACTTACCAGAAGATCGATCTCCGACGACAATTATCTGGGGTAGATTTGCGATTTCGCTTATACCTAAAGGCGAAAGTTTGTCGACGGTATCGAACAGGACCATTGTCTCGGCACTGTTCAACTCATCATCAGCACTACGCCGTGCTTGTAAGGATGAGTCTATCACCATCGCTAACTGGATTTGGCCGAAGCAAGGTCACATTATTATGCTCTCTCATCCACAAGCATTGCGTTTGTGTACCTAGCAATGGCAAGCGATGTTCTCGACTTCGCTGCTCCGGGGCAATGTTGGAGACGCAACAGACGCCTTTGGTAGCCACATTGATTGGCCTGGCAGTGGAGTCCATCATTGGGCGTTATCAGGGGTACACGAAGGGGTAATGGAAGAATAGAAGAGTCCTTGCCCGTTTGTGAGACCATCCAGGGCTTAAGAAACCGTGCACGGATCAAAATTATATCAAGAGGAGCATGCTGAAGTTGTCAAGGACAAGTTTCAATAGTACTGATACCAATCGTTCTGTTCATGCTTCTCGTAACTCTGTGAGATCCACTCCCAAAAAAGGGCGTCGAGATGTTGGTTCTTAATACAATTTAGCTTAGCCGACGTGTATCAGGGTGCATGGGTATGCGAGACTCCTGCTGAATTGACGACTACCAGGTCTTTTGTTGCGATGGGTCTGGTAGGTAGAACGAGCTTACAATTTCCACTTCCACCGCTTTTGGCCACCTGCCCGGTCCCATGTCACCTCCAGTCTCACCCAAGCCACAGAAGCAGCAGCAGCAAACATTAACCCTCCGACGAGAACCGCCATTCCGAGATAGTCTTCGGAAGTTTTTGTGGCTTCATTGCCCCGAGTCAATACGCCGGCAACGGGTGTTCCGATCATAGATGCAGTGCCCTGAGCCATGAACATGACCCCGGCGACCCGTGGCAGTTCTCTCATACCAAACAACTCTACCAGCGATGGCGTGAAGAGGCTGACATACGCGCTCGCAAACAAGCCATACAAAACCGTGAACGCGATGAAGAGTCCTCTTGCGGTGTGCTCATCATGTTCACCAGATAGAGTGCTCGAGACCCACAGTCCCAAGGTCATAACAGCGCTGAGGAGTGTCGTAAGGAAAAAGGAGTTAAGCCGTCCGATCCTATCTGCGACGAAACCGACGCCGATCTTGCCTATGGCATTGCATGCGTTGGCAACGGCAGTCCGGTTCGCACCATCAGAGTCACTGAAGCCCAGGGTCTTGGCATAAGAAACTGTGAAGAAGACCGGTGTGTAGTAGGCTGCGCTCTGGAAGAAGGTGCCAAGAACCTGAGCCACAAACTTTCGCTGCTTGGCAGTCTCCCATGTCGGCAAGGGAATCCGCCAAAACCCTGTTCGATGGGCGTCCTTCGCATTCTCCTCGCGCAGGTGGGCAGCCATGGATGGCTCCCAGCTAAGAGACATCCCAGACAAAACGATCAAGAATGCCGACAGGGCACCAGTCATGCGTAGAGTGTTACGGAACCCGATCGCCTTGACGGCTGCTGTTATGGCAGGTGCCCACACAAGACCACCAACACCAGTGCCAGCAGACACAAAGCCAACAGCCAGGCCTCTGTGTTTGTCAAACCATGTTGGTGCAACAGTCATTGAGGGCAGGAATGAGAGAGAACACCCAACACCCAAGAGCAGGCCTTGGGACAGTTCGAAATGCCAAAGGGCGGTTCCGAAACTTGCCAGCACATGGGCTAACCCGAAGAGAATACCACCGGTACAGATGGCAAGCTTGGGACCGGAGTTCTTCACCCATGCTACAACGAAGGGTGCTCCCATCATCATGACGGACACCGAGACGCTACCAATGAGGTCTATTTCGGCGTATGTGGCACCGAAGAAGGGCGACCCCTCCTCTTGTATCATAGTCTCATAAAGAGCTTGGTACACGCCATAGCCAAAGAGCAACCCACCAACTATGAAGTTGATCATGAAAGCAGCAATGAGAATTAAAGCGTAGCGACTGTATTATGTATCAGTTCTGAAGGACCAAATTCTACGGGGAAACCACGGCATAGGGGGAAGTACTCGGAAAGAGAGTTGGGAATTACTGACGCCTTGGTGTGTTTGATCTCCTGGGTCTCAACCTGCTCTTCGGCTCTCCCGTTGTTGTCTCCGGTCGACGCAGCACCCATCTTGATAACGACAGTAATTACTGGTAACACACTTGAATGAAAAGATTGTGTCAAATGAGGCCATGCTCGAAACTATTGATGTGCAGAGGTTGGTAAAAGGCGGATGAACGATTGATGTTGACTTGCGGAGGTCAAGATTACAAACCTAAATTGACGACTTGTCGAATTATTTAATAGCCGTTCAGGTTGACGGAACTCAGCTGTTGACTCACACTCTTCCGCTTGGACTGAAACCCACTTGCACTTCGGCTAGATTCATCGGCAGACAAGAGAGCGCAACATTTCCGCCCTGAACATGAACATGTCCAGGATTCTTATTCCCGGTCTCAGACAAACTAGTGCCTACTCCTCCTTGCCCGTTTGTGTCAATTGATTTACGCAAGAGCATGCCAGATTCGCGTTTTGTTCTGCTGCCCGCGTTTTTGATTTGTATCCCCGTCTCCACCGATTTCAGCAAATCAGCGCCTGTTGCTCTGCGAACCGAAACGTCCTTCTCTCGGTTCTCTCTAGCTTGCTTAGGCGGGATTGTCTGGCAGATTTTCTACCTCACAGTTTTTGGCTCAGTCTCGGCGAACCTGAAAGTCGGAACGTGAGGGAGTCACTTCCAAAAAGCTTATCTTTTGAAAAATACGTGATACCTGTGTTTATTCGTAGAGCGCTCCACTCATATACTTCAGACCGGTATCGCAAGCAACGGTGACAACAGTCTTGCCAGGCCCAAGCTCCTTCGCCAGCTGAATTGCGGCAATAAGGTTCAGTCCAGTCGAGGTTCCAGTGAGCAGACCTTCCTCTTTGGCAAGTCTACGGCACATCTCCCGAGCCTCTTCTTCAGAGATACCGCGGGCCTCGTCATAAAGTGACTTATCCAGCAACGGAGGAAAGAATCCTGGGCTTATGCCTTCTACACCATGAGTGCCTCCATGTCCCTTGGTAATCACTGGAGACGACTCTGGCTCGAGAACAACCACGCGCGTCTTAGGATCCGATGCCTTGAGTACCGTGGCCGTTCCCATGATCATGCCAGCCCCACCAGTGGCACCACAGAAGGCGTCAATGCCTTGCGGGAACTGGGCCAAGAGCTCTTGTCCCAAACTCTTGTAGCCGACAATGCCATCTGCATTTCTGAACTGGTTGGCGGCGTAATAATTCTTGTCTTCTTCAACGAGCGTCTTGGCACGCTCTACCATCTTTGGGAAGAGGTCCGGGGTGATCTTGCCCGTCGGGCTGTGGACAATGTCGACGTCAGCGCCGAAAGCAGCCATCGTCCGCAGCTTTTCGGCAGCGAAAGCATTTGAGCAGACTGCACGAAAGCCGTATCCCTTGAGGGTGCAAACAAAGGCCAGTGATGAGCCGGTGCTGCCTCCGGTGGCTTCGACAACTGTCATGCCAGACTTCAGATCACCTCTCCGCTCGGCCTCCTCAACGATGGCTCTCGCCATGCGATCTTTGTACGAGCCGGTTGGGTTCAAGTATTCGAGTTTGACGTAGACATCGGCGCAACCTTCAGGAACAACTTTGCGGAGGCGGACGCATGGTGTTCTGCCTATGACATCCAGAATGCTGTTAACCGGGGATGGGGTGGATGACTCGGACATAGTGAACGTGAAATATGAGTGAATAAAACTCGTAAAATATAGAATCTTGACGACAATGCTGAAAATTCCGTACGTTGCATACGATGCTTCCAAGCCAGGATCATTAAGAATTAGAGAATTGGCGTAAAAAGATTCCCTCTAGTAAGCATTACTTACCTTAGCAGTCGGATTTGATGACTCTTGTCGCCAAGTGTGCTCCACATATCCGCCTTACGGGCAACGTGATTCGCTTGAATCATCGATCCTCCGCGGAAATACAACATCAGTCCCACAACGACGCCTTTTGATTGACACTTCAATATCCGGACCTTCTTGCAGTCACTGTCTAGCAGTGCCTGTGGATACACTTCAAATGCCTTACAGATCAAAACACCGAGTTCGTGATGAAATCTAATATGGTAAGACTTTGCCTTGCGCCAAAAGGGGCTAGTTCGACCCCCCTACTAGAAAACTCCATAGTGAGTGAAGACCCCTTTCAGTTAAACCGGCATCTTAAAGGGTGCAATCGAGCATAGCCTGCAACTTTCTCTTCATTCCGAGTCTTAATAAAGACCAGACCAAGAGGGGGGTTCTCAAAGCAGACACCTGCCGAATCCCTGCCCGGGTCATGAAGTAAGCATTCAGCTACATCTCGCGCAGAGCATATCTCTTGACCCGCCGGGTAGATCCGCGACGGCCACAGCAGATGCCCGGCGCGAGCAGAGGGTGGTTGCATGAGTATTGCCGTGCAAGATACCTCTCGGCTTCGTCCACCTTTGGTTGGTGCAGCTTGATGGAAGTGAGTTCACCTTGAGAGGTCTAATTGCACCTATTATGTGGCTAGATATTAGCAAGATGGGCAGGTCGAGATTAGGGGTGCACTCCTCAGCCTAATAAAGCTGCCGCAGGCAACATGCTGACTATCCCGATGAGGGTGTACTCCGGAATTCGGTGTTTATTCCGCAAGCATCTCCCGCTATCGTTTGTTTCCCAATATTGGAGGAGGAAACACGCCGTAGGCATGAGCCGACCCCTGTCCGGAAGCTTCACGGGCAGCCTCAGTGCCCACCACCAGAACAGGATGAAACCGCCATACCCCACAGAACAACTCGGCAACCCGTGCTTTATCTTTGATAAACTACAGAGAAACATCCGGGGAGACGCGAGCCCCGCTTCTTACGATTGGGAATCTTGCGACTGGAGGAAGGTCCAGTGCTATCTCGGCGTTCGTTGGAATAAGTGCCGAGCTAAATTCAACATGCTTTGAGCACAAGCTTAAGCTGAGAGCTCTGGTAGCTTTGGAGCTAGAAATCATGACATTTGGAATGAAGCTCAAGAAATGTGATAAGCGCAGTCGATTAATTGCTGTCTTGGGCATGGATGATCTGCCATTCAACAGCTCATGCGAGCCTTCAATGGCGACAGAAAAGGTAGTCACCCTCCTAGTCATGTCATATCAACTGAGTTCATCCTCGATACAGGAACGATTCAGACCGGTTCACCACATGCAGGACAAAAGCTTACTTAACTTAGGACAGATCGCCAACGCTCTGGCTCAATGACAGCGACATGCAGATCACCCGTAGCATATTTTCTTTCTTTTTCCGACCCCTCGATAATTATAGATACCTGCACGTCGGTTATCCGGATCGCTGTCTGGAAGACTCCCGGACCTATCTGATGAAAACCACGAGTGGGCTCGTGATCATATAGAAACATCATCGAGCTTTGTCGGTGCCGGAGCTGTCAATCAGTGTTGATGAAACCGTCGATCGCCCGTTGTTTGCTGTCGAGTGCCGCAATCCCGAGTTCAGATGGGGAAATTGTCCGGGCTTCACGGGCAGAAAACGACCCTCGGTCTTCAAATTCAACGATAACGAGTGCATTAGATCGAGTGTCCCCCGCTCACTGTGACACGCTTGCGCAAGAGGGATGGCAGAGGAAATCTTCGCCGGCTTCCCGCCCCCGTACGACAGGCTCGCATCACAACAGTGTCCATCCTGTATTTAGCCTCAAACAAGGTTTCTGTCGCTCATCGGAAGTCGAGTTTGAGTTTTACTTACTGCAGGCACTGCAGCCTCACTGGCTCGGGATCAGAGGAGGTGAAACCATCTCCAAAGTGACGCACCGAACATCAGATGGGGTTCCGTGCCGCCACGCATCGCCAAGAATAGGTTTCCAGACTGGGGACTTACAACAACAGCCAATATTTATGGTAGGATCCCCATCTCGGTTCCTTGCCGTCAACCGCCATCCGTCTCACTAGTCTTGTGCTCGACGTGTTTAGCGATCCCGCTAACGCTTCAAGAGCCGACGAGGCTGAGCGCTTCACCACCAAGGCATTGACCAGAAACGGATGACACAGGTCGGATCGTCGGTAACACGGTACGTGGACCATCACTTGGACCAGTCAACAAACACCCTGGATGCTAGTTGACAAATGCCTCGTCTTGTTCTTCTTACCTTTCATACTCATTGAGTAAAGACTTCATCTCAAGCAACGGATGCTAATATCTAATAGTTGTCATTGACAGAAACGTGAAAACAAGATGACTCGTCTTGCTTTGGCCCGCAGGAGGTCGCCTCCGTCCAATCTGATTCTCGATGTTGATTCTCAGCACGAGAGACGACAGGCACCATCGCCTCCTCCTGGGAGACCTGGCCCTCCGCCGCCGCCAAATGCGCCAGGTCCTCCTCCTCCAGGGCCACCGCCGCCTCCTCCCCTTTCACCTGGACCACCACCGCCGCCCCCGGATGGAGGACCACCGCCGCCTCCTCCGGATGCCCCTCCTCCACCTCCAGGTACTCCACGAACTCCACGACCTCCTGGAACCCCGCCTCCTCCACCTCCTGAAGGACCACCTCCTCCACCGCCTCCCCCTGAAGGGCCGCCGCCGCCTCCACCACCTCCTCCTCCGGGACCTCCAGGACCTCCCGGGCCTCCAGGACCCCCTGGACCACCTGGACCGCCGCCTCCCCCTCCGCCGCCGCCCCCAGGTCCACCCGGTCCCCCTGGACCTCCAGGACCGCCTGGTCCTCCACCACCCCCTCCTCCGCCACCACCTCCGCCTCCCCCGCCACCGCCGCCGCCGCCAGTCACTGTTACTATGGTACCAAGCTCAGAGGGCCCGAGAACCACAGTGTTTGTCACTGTCACCCCTGCGCCTGTCACAGTAACTGCTGCGTTGGTTCTTCCAACTCCTGCCCCTGATTTGAGGAATGATGGTGGTCCTCGAAGACTTCAGCCAACAACGCCAGATCTCGGTCTCAACCAAAACTTCATAGTCATATCCAGCGAAGCCATTTTCGGTTTCTTGGCTGGAATCGGTAAGTCATGTCTTCTCTCATATAACCATGTCGGTTTGCTGATATTATGAAAACTTAGTGGCTACCTGGCTCCTCATCGTTGCTGGTCTCGCAATTTGGCGGAAGGCTAAGCGTCGCGCGCGACGCAAGTTAGACGAGTTTCAGTGAAGAGAGTTGAAGCTATTCAACTAATGTTTGCGACATCCGTTCCTAATTTGTAATACGGATATCTGTCCTAATGTCACGTATGAGGGCTGTGTAAGATAGAATAGGCTGAGGGTATTGTAATTCTACCTAGATTGATCTATACCTGGTCACACGTAGTTGAGCTGATTCATCTGCACATGATGCGGTTCCCAAATAAGATAAACACCGCGAGTACGACACATCAGTCAACCGCGGCGAAGACCGTCAACGGAGATGCCAGTTTTATTAACCGCCGGCGCATGACCCGTTTCCCTTGACTCAGACCACCGGGGAACCTCTTGAAACCAAGTCCTCCCACCCGAGTACTGTCTGGTACGATGAAGACAAGGCCCACCCGATTCCACCAGTCACGAAAAAGAGAAGAAGTTCGGTTGAAACCTTGTTTGTTGTTCTAGTGTCTGAGCGAAACTTTCTACACTTAAGCAAAAAGCCAAGTTTCCTTTTTGTGTTTATTTATAGCCGAACCCCTGAGAATGGGACGAACCTAAAGCAAGGATCGATCGCGCTCTGATTCTCCCGCACCACAACGTTTGGCGGGGTCATCCCAAACCCAGTGCTGTGCAGCGGCTTAAGTTGAGTTGATCTGCATATAGGAAACTCACGTCACTTTTAAGTCTTGCGTTTACGTCAAGAATTATCTTATTTCTTTCTACGGTGTTGGGTTCTCCCGCTGAGCTGGGAACTTCCGGATTTCCACGACACTGGTCAACGAACTGTTGCGAAACGAGAGCAATCTTGAGAATGCTGTCCACGCCGGACTCATAAACTTTTGGAATTGTCTTAAAGAAGGTCTTGCCAATCGATTAGAATGTGCTGTATATTTAAATGGAAACGATAAGTCCAGGTTTTGCTCTTCATCTATAACTAGGCCGTACGTATATTTTTACCACTCTGCGAAGGCGTTTCGGGTAATAACGCTCAATATTAGGACTCAAAAAATACTTGAAAACTAGTAAAACTAATCGCTTTTCCCAATGCTAAGACACATAAAGAATGAGCCATGATCAATTCAAAGACTGTACTTCCAGCCTTCAGCAGGCCCTGCCACTTCGACCAAAAAGTTCGGAAAAACGGAGTTGACAGTCTCTTCGCGTTGGAACCCTCGCACAGTCCCAAACTTGCACCCGTGACTAACGTTCGCAGTGAAGAAAATGCGATCTCTGATCCAGCCAAGCCACTTAACCTGACTCGCTTGGATGACGGGAAAATGATTTTGCCCAGTGTACTCCAGAAACTCCAGACTCTCCTGAACATCGGCACCCTGTAGCATTCCGCATGTTTCCCTCACGTTGGCCTCCATGTTTTTGAAGTCAACTACGGAGTCCTTGTCCCCAGCCGCAATCCATAAAGGCCCTTTGAAAGGCTTTCTTCCAACGGCAGTTCTCTTCTCGAAGTCCAACACAGTCGGTTGCTCTGTCCAGTTCTGATAAGCCAACCGACCTAATGGGATGCCAATGCCTGAGACTCCTTTCGTGGGTAGACAGCCTTGCACAGCCTCTTGGACGTTGACCCATCTGTCGCGTCCGGCCTCGGTCAGTCCGGACAGGTTGAATTCTGGATACGCCGCCGTTATTCCTTTTGCCAAGGATGGCTGAAGGCTCAAGAAGGTGTTGGTCCATACTTGGGTCTTGTTGGCCTCATGATCTTCTATGGCCTTCCTAGTCTGGTTTATGATATCTGTTGGTGGAGCGAAGGCAACAGCGCCCTTGAATCCAGGGATCGGCTTGTCGACCAGTCTTTCCGCGAACGACCATACGGCAGCAGCACCCTGGGAGTGGCCCATGGCTACAAACGGCCCATCAAGGCTGAGATACTCAGGGAAAGCTTTGCGTGCGGCGACAATGGCGTTTGCTACGTCATTAGCGTGTGCGGGTGCCGCAGCCCAGGGATGGCCGATGCCGTCGCCGTTGGGAAGCTTCCCAACACCCAGACCCGCGTAGTCTGGTGCAACCACGACGTAACCCTGGAGAGCGAGTAGGTATGGAACTTGGAAGTGGTATTGCAGGTTTCGGTAGTTGCTGGGTGCACATGGCGCCAGACCTCCAGAGGTGCCGTGTGCCCATGCGACCAGAGGCCAGTGGGTTGAATTTGATGAATCAGAGACCGGAACTTCTAGCGGGCTTGAGGGCCACAGGATGTACGCTGATGCAGGTACGATGGTACCGTTGAGGTTTTCAGTCGTATACATCATTCGGGACATGGTCAAAGGAGTTGGTACGGTGTAGTTCGTCAGATTCGTAATTCGCTCAAGGGACAAGACGGTGCCTGGCTCAATGATGTTGGAGAAGTTGGTCGGAACCTCATAAAAAGAGAAGTCTGAAGCTCTTTGTGACTTTTCCCATGAGGAAACGCGATGTACAAGCTCCTTGCAGGTATCATTACAGGTCGTGCTAGCGTTCAGACTCGAAAGACCAAGATCGATTGCAGCTTGGGCCACCAGAAATGTTGCCATCGCGGCGAGAAGTAGTTGCAGTCGCATGTTAACCGCTAACGTGTTGTGTGGTTATTTCGTAGATATTTGTGGTGTTGGCGGAGTTGCTCAAGATGGATGCAAAAGTGAGAGAAGAGTAGCTTGTCACTATGTAAGTGGATAGTTTGCGCTTGGGAGCCTTACTTCTAGAATGATTTATATGCCCTTTAACTCACATACTTTATGTAGTATGGATTGCTATTCAAACAGCGCACTCAGCAATTCAAGCAATTATCCCGAGTTGCACGTATTGCACCGACTTCAAAAGCTCGGCTAGACTCTGAACCGAGTCGGTGAGATTCAAGACGTTCTGCATTGAGAACGGGTGGCTCAGCGTCCCGAGTGCTGACGCGCTACTGCTCGACTGCCTGCCAGATGCCAGGCGTCATACATAACAGGCCATAGATATGGCTGTGGCTATGGCATAAGCTGAGTCTAGCTGAATATGCGGAGTGATGTCAGAAACGGGTTGCGTTAGCCTTCAGGTAAGCTCATCTTCCTCGTTGTTGTTTGAGCTGGTTCAGGGAATCCGAATTGTTCGTCCTGGGAACATTCAGCTTCCTAAACGAGAACCATCTCAGTCAAACTTGCATCTGAGCCAATAGCCTCCCCATGCATCATCCCATGCACGTAGCACTCCCCCACAAGCCGAAACCTCCCGCCTTCTATCTTTCTCATCACGAACGGCACATGACAATTCTCCAGCACGTACACTTGGTCCCCAACGTTAGCATGCCCAAGGAACAATCCCAGATGGCCCTTCTCGGTGGTGCCCAACTTCCGATTCTTCAACGCATTAACCATCGCCGTGCGAAGCTCTTGGAACGTATCTCCAGCAGATCCCACCTTGTGGTCTTTCAGCCTCTCCAACTCTAGCCTGCCTCTTCCTTTGGGCTTCTTCTGTCGCGCGGTATATGTCTGTCCAGAGATGGAAGGTTCCATGCCAGTTGACGCGTCCAGCAAAAGGCTGATGATCTCTTCGTACGACTGTGGACACTTCTGCTTCCCGGTGTCATTCCTCCCCGCCACGAGTGTCTGACACAGCACAGAGAACAGCGTGTGCGGCTGCGGGTACGTCACCATCTCAGAAACGAATTTCAAGACTTCGAGCAGTGTCTGATTGCCGTTCATTGGGTCCTCGAACGTAAGATCAGGGTTCTCGATAACCCGACTGGTCGTAGAGATGGTATCGATGAGGAACCCTTGCACAGACATCTCGTCGCCTCGTACTGGCAACCGTTCCCAGTCTTTGAAATCCTCGCTAATCCACATCTTCCGCTCAAATGTCCCATGGGCTCTGTAAATACCCTGAGAAGCAGTCGTGTATCCCAACGCAACTGTCAGACGAGGTCTGCTCCAATCCGGGACCCAAGAAGGCAAATGGGGCGAATCATGGTCCACGCATGCCAGGACCTCGTGCAGTGCCCATCTCGTGGGATGTTGAGAAACATGGTGCGCCACGACTTGCTGGTACAGCTTCGTAGCAGGGAAGTCGTCCGCGTAGCTGACCTTCACCGCAGCCTGATGATCCTCGTTGACCACCCCAAGCAATCCGTATACCTTGTCTCTCGAATCATAGCACTGCGCCCCACGGGACTGCACGAGCAACGGCACCAGTGTATTATCACTGTCCTGGGCCGACTGCTTCATCCGGTGAAGCTGCCATGCCAGCTCGCACATATCTCCTCGATCATCCATTTTACTGCCTTTCGCAGGCCCCTTCGCAGCCTCCTTCCGAAGCCACGCCGAGATTCCAGTCGTGACAAGTTGCATACACCCGCTGGATAGATTCTCCCAAGTGATGAGTGAATCACCACAAGCAACCCATGGGTCCCTCGAGAGAATAACCTCTTGGATGATCCATACCCTCGTGAACCACTGCCGCGAGAGCAAGTCCCACAGAGCACTCCAGTCCTTCGATTCAGGCGCCGGTAGGCGCATCCTTTCGAACTCCTTCGGGTCGATGTCGTCTTCCGTCGTAAACTGCAACCGGATGTTGACCTCCTCAAGGAGCTTGATCGCCACGTCAGAGCCTTCACTGGCTTCACCGAGCCAGATCGCGGTGTTGGTGGCGCGCTGGTAGATCCTGGACATTAGGGGGATCTGCTGCCCCTTTTCGTCGTTATTGCTCTGGTCGATGCAGATCTGATCGATCCACAGCACCACAGATTCGTCCTCTCTGCGGAAATGGAGGAGGGCCGACTCGAGGGACTTGGTGATTGCTTTTTCGTGGCCGTCGCATTCGATCATTGCGTCGAAGATGGGCTCGCCCCAGGTGTAGCTCAATGCGGTGTAGGAGATTGGGGTGACGAGATCTTCCATCGAGAGCGCGTAGCGCACCCTGATGAAGGACTGGTTGTATGGTTCGGGGTCGACGTATTCGACCGAGCAGTGGTGTAGAGAGCCGCGCAGTTTATCCCCCTTAGCGCCCGGCTTGACCTCGAGTACCCGGATCTCGTACGGGTCGACGATGGGTCTGTACAGTTTGCCCCGGCCGTCATCGCGGGGTCGATCTGGGACCGTCTTCGTCTTTGCCCATTCGCAGACCTTGGCCCTCGTTTCCTCCGGGATCCAGTCGTGATCATCAATCTTTGCAAGCTCAAACTCCCTGCCAATGTCATAGCCGGTCCAGTATTCGCGCTCCCCCGCGATTTGGAAGAAGTCTGCGGTCGCATCGTCCATTTCGGAGTGGGGCACGCAAGTCAGCGCAGAGTCGGAGTGAAGTTGATGGGCCGAGGATCCGTCAGCGTGGAGAGAGGACCGGGCCGTCGATGCCTTCTTATTCTCTACGGACCCTGTGCTTACCGTTACGAATACCCATTCTCGTGCAGCTGGACCATGCCACTCCAAGTGGGTGCTTACAGGGCGTGAATTGGCGGTAATTGAGCGAATGAAAATCCGCCATCCTGAGAAGCCAAGATGTGGCTGCTGAGCTGCTTCTAGCTGCGAAAGGGCACCAGTCGGCAAGAAATGAGAATGCCACATCCTGTCAGGCTCTAGGAAAAGGGTTGCAGTTGATTTTTTCCAACACACGAATCTCTGAGAGATCTGGCGACGAGAATCGGGCCTCTTAAGAAATGACCCCTGGAACAGGCTGGTACGCCACAAGAAAACCACCGTCAAAACCGTAATGCGTCAAAGCTTCGGAAATGTGAGAATTGATGAAGTTCTCTCATCCTCATCGCCAAGCTTGAGCTACTGGAATGGCGCATATGTAGAAACATTCGTGCAGATGAACAAGTCTCAGCCTGATCTAAGTCTACGCGCATCGGTATAATGTCACTCTCTCTTCATGAGTCTAAGTATTTCAAAGATGTGACGGAATCTTCTCGTAGGCTTCTATGGAACTATGGTGTCCATATATGTAATCGACGGTGCGTAATCCTTAACTCGCATTTAATGTTTCCTAAAGCTACCCCCAAACACCTCGCAATCACGCTTAGCAGTATCGCCGTGGCCTCTGTATGAACAGAAAGTCATTTCCATTGCAAATTTCTCAACTAATTCTTCAACTAGTTCAATCCAGTTCCTTTCCAAATGATTTTAGCCTCCTGTCATCGCACTCAGTCAGTGTGAAAGACGATGGGCTTAGATTCGAGCCGATGCTTCTTGCCTTCTGGGATGATAGTTGCCACAGCATAATGGCGAAGATGGCACAGAGTTTCAGTCATCGCAGAGGTTTCCAAGATGGCGGAGAATACCGACAGAACCAGTTTTTAATATCCTAGAAATGTCAACTATGCACCACAAGCATGCCATTTACTTTAATTGTGTAGTGAATGGGGTAAAACATTGATATTTCATGTCCGCTGTCTAAGTTATGAAATATACCGCCGGGGTCGTCAACGCTGGAAACAGCACGAGACAATCTCGCCTCAACCAGACTTCACTTCAGTCCTGAACTCCAAGTCATCCAAAAAATCAAACTGCTCCATCATAAATAAGAAACTCCTAGTCATGCCAGCAAGCTCTCCGACCGCACACACAAGCGCCGCACGCGCCGCCTTCGCCGCGACAGCCGTGCCGCAATCTCCATGCGTCGCCGAGATCGCTCTCTTCTGTTGAGTGGTGCCCGCATTTGTAGAGCTCATATACGCCATCCAGAGGTCTCGAAGCGTCCCACAGATTGCATACGTCAAGACGTAGAGGCAAAGCTGCCATAGGGTAGCTGGAGTTTTGTTCAAGATGTCGAGGCCTGTGATTACGGGCGGAAAGGTGAGAAGAAGGAAGCTGACGAAGTGGGCGAGGAGGAAAGTGCCCGGCGCCTCGAGAAAGCGCAGCCGGCGAGTGGCAGCTGTACTAGTGGCAGTCCCAGCCGACGCGCCCTGGTCGGACTGTTCCCGGGAAGCCCACGCCTCGACTAGGCTTTGGCACTCGCTGGTGATGGAGAGATCCTGAGCGGCGCGGGAAAGAGCCGACCGTTGCGCCCTCGCTACGCAGTCCGACGGTGCAACATTGATTACACGCTGCTCGGGGCGCTCGCGACCAGAAGGCGAAGCTATGTCATCGCGTCGACCCTCCTTTTGCTCGTCGTCGTCGTTGGCGGGTTCCGGCTGCTGCGTACCAGATGACGGCGTTGGATCTGTGGCGGCGGAGGCCTGATCGTGATGAGCGTCCTCGGCAGAAGACACGTCAGACGAGGCGACGAAGACGTACTCCTCCTCCTCGTCGGCGGCAGAGTCCGGCTGCTGCGCCCCAGTCCCAGAAAAAAGCGTCGAACGCATAGCGCGGGCTTCCCAATCAGAATGCGCTTCACTGAGTCGATGGCGATGGTGACGCTCGGTGGTGACTGTTGAGATAAGCTTGAGGTCCTCGTAGGGCGACATGCTGTACCGAAGCGCTTTGGGGAATGGATCTTGGGAAGTGTCTAAACGGAATATGGAGAAGTGGTTGTTTGACGTGTACAAGCGTTGGAATGAAGTAATGCAAGTTTGTAGACTGGCGATAAATCGATGGCAGAGAAGGGAAGTTCGAGCAGAGGGACCAGGAAATAGTCAGCCTTATATGACCATGGGACTTGTAGGATGAAAGGGTGCGAGATCAATATTGAGAACCTCTTCGGCAGTTCAGGCAGCCATGGTGTATGTACATGTTTTACGGCCCGGTTCACCGGAAATTAAGATCACCAAAATGGAAAACCATACTTCCGAGAGACCCTTCCCTCTAGTTGATATTAACAGTGTAGTATTATACAGTAGTAGTACAGGATATCAGACGACTGGTGACAAAGATCCCTCAACTCCGATGGCTCAAAGCACAATGTGGTATCTTGGCGCGCCACAAGTGGTAAGGAATAGTATGTGCAAGAAGCAGAAAGAAAAGGCCCCAAACCCCGAAAGCAAATCCCCCGAACCATCCGATGCCATCTCCATCTAGTCAACATCAGCCAAGCTGGTGTCGGAGCCGTTGCCCGAGTCGCCTTGGCTCTCCTTCCAGGATGCCATCTCCGCTACAGGAACCCGCCCCCTGAGCCAACGCAAGGTCGCCTCCGTGCCACGCTCCAGGACGCTATATCTGGGAACTCTGAAGCGGTTGCCGGAGACTTCCAAACGCTTGAGTCCGCCGGCGCCGGCGAGCAGACCGATCCTCGGGTTGAGGTGAGCGATGTCGTTATTGCCAGCGTCAACAACCTCGAGGCCCTTGATGGCATCAGGGTCCAGCTCGATCAAGTGGTTGTTTGCAATCAAGAGGACTACCAGGCGTGGGAAGACCAGTCGCAAGTTAGGCGGCAGTGCAGTGATGCGGTTCAGCGAAACGTCCATCTTCTCCAGTTGCGGAGCATTCAAGTGCGTGGTCAGCGGGGCGAGGCTGGTGATATGGTTGCTAACCAGATTCAGCTCACGGAGGGACGGCAACTCTAGCTCCTCGGTCAGATAGGTCTCGCCGACGAGCTGGTTGTGGGCAAGAGACAAAGCGCCAAGGGTCTCGGCGAAAAAGGAAAGCGAGTTCGGGAAGCAAGTGAAAAGGTTGTGGTGCAGTTGGACCTCGCGCACCTTGTTGTCTGCGGCCACCTTTGAGCAGACGACAGGGTGCAGCGAGGATGATTGGGTGTTGGATCGATCCAGAAGGCCACCCGGCTTCACAGGCCATGTCTCCTTGGACAGAGTCTGGGAACGAGCACGCGCGGGTGAGGTAGTCGACGAAGTAGGGGGCGTGGCGAAGTTATCATCCGAGCGCTCTTCCTCATCGGCAGGAACAGGAGGCAAGGGGGGCGCATCCTTGATGGTGAGTTTTCCGAACCCGTCGGCAATATCGTCAAAGTCGGCCGAATCAGGGGCGGCGACTTCGGCGTTCTCATCCTGGTATGGCGGAGGCGGCTCAAGTCTGCCAGCCAAAACATCCTTCAGCTCTTCCGTGGTAGCAGAGACGAACTTCTTGTCGCGCAATGGGTTACCGCTGAGGCGAATCATGGTCAAGTTGTCCATTCTGCTGATCTCGGGCGGGACTACACGGATGTCGTTGGCGGAAAAGTCGACGTTCCTGAGCTTCTCGAGCTTGGTGAAACCTGTGGGAAACTCGGGGATGGCGTTCTCGTTAGCGGTCAGAGTAAGAAGGCTGATCCAGGAGCTGACATCTGGTAGTTCCTTGAGGCGGTTCATGGACAGCACGAGCTGGTGAACGGAAGGCAGGCTAATGGTGGCACCCGGAGACACCAAGTAGGTGAGCTGATTGGAAGACAAATCAAGCATCTGGAGGTTCGACAGAGCCTGAACTCCAGCCTCGATGAGTGTGCCAGAGAGCTTGTTCTTCTGGGCGAGCAGTTCCGTCAGGGGCAGCTTGGACAGACTTGTAAACGGGAGCGACTCAAAGCTGTTGCTGCTCAGATTGAGGATGCGAAGTCTGGAGAGGTTCTCGATTCCATCGGGTAAAGATGAGACCTCGTTGCCGTGAAGGTCGAAGATTTCGAGGTTCTCGAGCTTGGAGAAGCTGGGGTCCAAGGGGCCGTACAAAAGGTTGTTGGCAAGCTTCAAGTCGCGGAGGGCAGTGACCTCGGTGATGACGTCCAAGCAGTTGTTCGCGAGTCGGTTTTGAGACTGCTGCATGTTAGCTGGGAATTCGTAAAGTTGAAACGTCGAGGCCTACCAGGTTGAGGGATGTGAGCAAGCGAAGTTGTCTCAGTCCCATCGGCAAGGAAATCAACGAGTTTCCGTGCAGATCCATGGCCTCTAGGCCGCCAAAAATGTTGCCGCTGGAATCCTCGTCTTCAGCCATCTGCTCGGGCGGGATATCGGGGAATATCGAATCGGCAATGGTCTCTAGCTCGTTGTCGGCAGCCACAAATCTCGTCAAATCGACACTCTCGGCCCATGAACCGTCATACGTGCCCATAGACTCCATGTCGTACATCTTGAGAACCTCAGTGGGGATCTCCTTCAAGCCGAGCGCTGCGATGTTGAGTCTTCCGGTGCTTCGACCAGCTCCAATGCGCTGCTGGATAATCTTTCCAGTCGCGTTCTCCGATCGCTTGGTATTGAAAGGGTCACTGGTGTCGAAGGGGGCGGGAGCGGTGGTCATAGCAACACCAATGCCAAAGTCAAAGCCTTCGTCCGCTGGGACAATGGGGGATTTGAGCGGTTTCGGTAGAGCAGGAACTTCTAATTCCTGCGTTGAAATTGGAGCAGCAGCAGCAGTCGCTTCTTCGGCCTCAGCAACTTCTGTGACGTCCGCAACCTCGGCGGCTTGACGATCCGCCGCACGCTTCGCAGCCTTAGCCTTGGCAATCTGATCGCGTAGAGAGGCCGAGGCTTTCCTGAACTCGTTGGTAGGAGGCTCAGCTAGCGTCGGAGGACCAGGGAGACTCGACTTCGTGGGCGTAGGCTTTCGGAGAGCACCATACGACTTGGCAGACTTCAGCTTCGGGGCTGGCTTGAGGGAAGGAGAGCCGGCTGCCGCTGGTGACTGTTGGCTTAATGTTGGGAGGGAAGGCTTCTTGTACAAGTCATTGACGGATGCTCGAGGCTTCAGAGAACGCGCAGCCACCGGAGTTGTCGTTGTCGGAGGAGGCATGGCAATTGCACTTCTGGTTGGGCTGGGGCTCTGGTAGGCTGGGATCCCTGATGAAGACGGCCGTGCTGACGGAGAGGCTTGCGGAGTGGCCCTTACTGTTGGTGCCTTCAGAGACCTCATACCGGACACCCGCCTTGACGGTGTGCCCTCGATGGCGCCCGGCGGTCGGGGTGCGGCCATGAGCCCTCGAGCGGCGAACGGGTTCTCTTCGGGGCCGGAGCTTGAGCCTGGTCGACTATGACGCGAAGTTGGACGCAGGGAGCCGTCGGAGGTGTAACTTGAGCCGGGTCTCGAGTTCCCGCTGCCAGCCCGAGAACGGGGTCGTAGTACGCCTTCTTGGTCGAAAAAGGAGGACGGTTTCTTGCTCAGGGCAGGCGATGACTGCAGCTGGGAAAGGGTCTCCATTGTTCTCTCGGCAAGCGATGGTCGTGGCTTGAACTTGGGCGTACCAAAGTCTGGGAGACCGGGTTCGGCGTCATCGGGAGGAGAGCTCGAATCTTGGGGCAACGGCGGCACCTCTGGTGTTGAAGCAGAGGGTTCGGATGGACGCCCTGAAGAGCTGGCCGGGCGGGAAACAACGACGTATTCGGCATCTTCTGGGGGTGTCGGGGGTTTGGTAACGGTTGGTTCGGCCGCGTTGAGTCGTGGGATACTGCGAACGCTCTTCAAGGAGCTGACGGGAGCTCTCGCCTCGGGCTTTCTCGTAGTCGTGGACGGTGGTGGTATCTCTCGTCTCAGCTTCGGAGCAGGCCTGGGCTCTGGCTTCTTAAGAGCAGGAGCCGGTGCCAATTGGTCTCGCGAGGCAGCGGGTCGAAGACGGGGGTTTCGAAGACCGGAGTTGAGGCCATCGCGGGAAGGAGAAGGCCTCACAGCAGGAGTCGGCTTGGTGCTGGCAACGGGAGTAGGCTTGGGCACGGGTAGACGAGAGAGTCTCGGGATCCCGCTAGGCCTCCCAGGCGCCTGCTTCTCGTCCATTGCGGCGGCGGACTTGGTTCTCCTGCTACTGCTGGGAAAGCATGCAGAAGAGAAGTTCGGCGGATTGCTGACAGACGGGGTCGATTGTCTGGTAATAAGGAGAGGGGATTTTGGATAATATTGGCCGCACGGATTCGGGACCAAGGCGTGTGTTTTAGCGCGTGCGCCAGTCGACGCGGGAGGCGTTCCGTTTGCTCTAGTCGAGTCGGGAGCTAGCAAAGGTAATTAGAGTGATGTCACGTCGCGTGCTGAGCGTGTGTCGTTGCAAACAGAAACAGAAACAAAGCTGTCGAGTCGTTGCGGGGGGGCAAACGGGTTTGGAAAGCTGCAGACGAATGGCGAGAATCAGTCAGTAATCGCACACACTGCTGCTGCGTTTGCAAGATGACCACGGACACGACGACAAACAGAACAGTGGCCAACTCACCCAGGATGGCCTCGCTGCATGTCCTCCACTGCCCAAAGAAGAGAAACGAGATGGACCCTTCAACCGATAGTGAGCAGTGCTGGGGGGGTCTGGTCGTCTGGTCGGGCGGCTGCGCGAACAGACTTCTGCGAGCAAGGAAGAGATGAGCGCTGGGCAGGGAAAGCGACAAGGATAGGCGAGCTTGTCCAATTTCCCGGACCACCTTCGGCCCCAATCTGGCGGTACGTACTCTCTGAGAAAATCCAATTGGGCAGCAACAGCGGCAGGAGCATCGTTCCCACCCGTTCATCTCCAACGGCCGGTGGGATCACGTGGTGCTGCCGGATGCCAGCTGGCGACTCCGATTGGGGCAGGCGTCTTAATCCTGGCGCCAACAGTCAGTTTTGCGTGGTGTTCCTGCATGTCTTTCCCTTTTCCACCCATTCCCGCCCACTGCCGAACGAGGGGCTGCTGCAGCTGAAATCAAATTCAAGACAGGGAAGGCCACCTGCAAAGACAATTGATTGCTGTTGGTTGGTCTAAGTCGAGGTGTCCGTTTGACAATCAGACAATGGCGGGGACGACGCAGGCTCCGACTGGAGTCAACCGAAAACACACGCAGACTTACCAACAATGGTAGTAATCTCACAACTCTTTTCTCCCCCTTTTTTTGTGATTTTCTTGATCTTTAAGGCCTCGCATTTCTTGGCAGTTGCGAAAGCTTCGTATCGGATGCGTATCTGCTTCATCTCCCGTGGTCAGCTTTGAACCTCCGACTCGACAGCATCTCGAAAAGCGTTTCAACCCCCTCTTCCTGACGGCAGCCGGCAAGCCCCAGACGATCGAGATAGCCGGGGCAGTCCCTGAGCCGGCCCGGGAGGCCGAGACCAGCGGCCACACGATCCAGGAACCAGTGTTCCGTCCCGTAGCTGGCAGGGGTTGGGCCCAACGCATGGTCATAGCATCCCGCCCATATCGATCGGACGTGACACCGGACCAGATCCTGTGTCAGGCTCATCCAAGCGTCATGCTCATCGATGGTATCCATCCTCATCATCAAGTTCCCCCCAGAGTGTGATACACAACCCTGGAGGCCTCGTCTCCCTTCCCGGCCTGATGTCTTGACGGCACAGGCGGTAGATGCCGATAGGGGGTGGGACGAAAGAGGGAGACATGAACGTACCTCAACTTCCACTCATCTTCACCCTCTTTGCCTAGGAACAACATCGTTCCGTAGGACTTCTGCCACAAGTGCCCCTCGCCGAGCTGTGGCCGCAGGCACACCGCCCTCAGACACCCGTTCTGGTCAACCAGAACATGATTGGCCGGTTGACCACCAGCCACTGATTCCTCTGCTTCACCCACTCCTGTTGACCGACATCCTTCTGGTTTGATGTCTTATCTCGGCACACGCAACGAGTGCACGTGTGCATGAGGCCTTGGGGATCGTTGGCTCGTTGGAAGAAGGCCGGGAACCACAGCCACTTGCTACAGGCGCAGAAACGGCAAGCGCCGTTCTCGTTGGGTTCCCCATCGAGTGATCTTATCCCCCGAAAGTTCAGGGCAGGCGGGCTGGGCACTCCGCCAGTCCAGTCGGGACCGGTTAGGAAGTAGCGACCCCGAGCACTGTGAAGTTGGAACCCGGCAGGGATGGGGGGGAAGTTCGGAGGAGGGGGTATGGCGGGATAGCCAGCGGCAGCCGGACCGGGAACAGCGGCAGCGGGACCGGAAGCGGCAGCGGCAGCAGAGGCCGGGGCTGGTGCTGGGGCTGGTGCTGAAGTCGCCGGAGGAGGGAGGGCGGGAAACCCAGCAACAGCAGCAGGACCACTGACTGGCAAAGCTGAGACCGGAGCTGGAGTCGGATACGAGCCGGCAGTAGCGGGAGCAGGAGCGGGGGCGGGGCCGTGTGCAACGGGCATTGTGGACAGGTATGACCTAAACAAGGCACACTTATCAGCCTAGCTCACCAGTGGCAGAACGTGTGCGTACTCGTCGTCCTCATCCTCATCCTTATCCTCTGCATCCGCATCTTCGTCATCAGTGTCTTCTCTGTCGTCCTTGTTGTCGTCTCGGTATTCCTCGCCAACATAGACAAAGGACGAAGGGTCTGCAGATTCCGGCGACATGATGAGGCTGGCAGGCAAGCCAGCACGAGGTACGGCGGCAGTCGGAGCCGGGGACGAGTCTGCAAAGGGCATGGTCGTCATGGACGAGGGAATAGGCGCGGGAGTAGGCGCCGGGGGAGGCCTGGCGGTACGACCGAACTTATACTCATACCAGGCGTCAGTTCCTGGCCTTGGCAGCAAGTGGGGGTCTGGATAGGGGCGGCCCCAGGTGCTGGTGGTGGAAGGCCTATTCAAACTAGGTGGTCTCGAGATCGATCTGGCAGGGACGTAGGAGGGCCTAGCAGGGGCATTGGACATGAAAGCGGCGGCGTGACGTTCGAGGATCTGTCGGGGGCCCAGCGGGAGGTTATCGAGGCTGCCCTCGAGCCGATCCGCGGTGAAGATCAACGAGTCGGCTAACCAATTGCCCTGCAGGTCCACATCATACCCGATACCCCGGAGCTCCTCCGTGGTGCCATTATTCCTCAGCTGTGATCGTCAGATTCATCTTTTAGATCGTGACGATGGGAGATCTTGAGATTGTACATACCGCGGCAAGCAGGGCGCTTCTGGGTGGGCGAGCTGGGGGGTCCATATTGGCGGTTGTGCGACGGAATGGATGGGGTTTGAGGAGGAATTTCCAGAATGTTCAGCTCGCAGAGATTTTCTTTGAGAGACCGCACTCGAGGGTGCTGCTCAAGGGCAGCTTCACCCTCTGCTTAGTCGTCGATGTCCAGTGCTGGTGCATGGTCGGCGCGTGGTCGAGAAGTGGCCATCATGGAGAGGTCATCCTGAGGCCACTGGTATCATGTAGCTGCCCCCGGATCTACCTACACTTCCCACCCATCATTGATCACAGCTTAAGCAAAACGTGCATGATCTCCTCCCATGACTTGGCTAAGTTGTTGCTGAAAGACTGAAAGGGATTGTCGGGCAAGTCGAAGCAAGCAGAGCCAGTGTTTGGGTAAAATCCTTCTCAGTTAAGACTTAGCAAACTTGTCGAGAAACTGGTAGAAGGAGAAGACTACCTCGGAGGGACCATGGCGCATCACTCATGGTTTCTAGATGGGTCCCTTCACAATATTTGGAGCGAGACACAAGCTAGCAATGGACTTGATGAAGTTAGAAATGTTTGGACGGTTTCTGAACGAAGCACAGAGAAGATTGAACTCTTTCAGTCAAAGAATCCTAAATGAATTCGGCTTCACAGATGAGCGCTGGGGTACTTCCTCGAAGAGCCTTGGATATCGTGACGATAAAGCCAACGGCATAGCCGCATCATGTACCATACATCTAGGCAAGCGAGATCAAAGGTCCATCAATGAGAGCGCAGAGTGTTCGACTTACGCGTTTCATTCTTTCAATTTCGATTCAAATGCTTCCTTACGTCCTGAGAAGTACTCTGCATTTACCAGAACATCATCAGAGGGCAGACAAAAGAATCCAACTCGACTTGGCCATGCACTGCTCCTCCAAATTGGTCGCATAAGCAACATCGGAAAGCCCTAAGAGGATATCATCCCACGCATCATCACAGTAGGATTGACTGGAATCTTGACTAGTTTCCAACGCTGAAGGCATCATACCTCGCTTGTCCCATCATTCCATCATGAGTTCTAACGTGCATCAACAGACTCATCCGACAACATATGTCATGACCACTCAACCACCCCTCTCGGACCTCGAAGCGAAAAATCCGCTGACAGATGGCTGACGACAACGGCTCACAGCGAGAGTGGATTCAATAACCCCTCCAGCCATGCTCCCGTCCGAAGTGAGGCCTTTGGATGACATCCGATTGCTGATCGCCAGGTCCCCTCGGTGGATGCCCGCGGCCAGGGGGTTGACTCGTCCGAACCCATAAAAGGAGCAAACATCGCCGCAACCACCCAATGAGGCCCGTCCAACACGCGGAGAAGTGCCGGTGTCAGCGATGAAGATTGTGGGGTTCTGCCCAGCAATTTCCGACGATGCGATCCGTGCAACATCCAGATTTCCCGAATAGGCACCGCAGAGTCGCGATGATGGTGGAGCATCGGTCCATTCGATGGACCTCTGCTCAGGGGGATGCCCGTGTCGATAATCACGAAAGCTGGTTTCCCCCCGACATCCGGCGAAATCCCTTGATGACGGCAAAAGTGAGCAGTGAGAGAAAAACGAGAATATGAGATATATATATCTTTGACGTCTGCAGCCAAGACCCGGGGAGAGAGAGCCTCTTGTCTCTTCAACTCCGGCGGTTCGGTTCGGTTCCCCCTCCATCGATCGCCAAAAGAGTGCAACCACCACCCGACATCGTCAATCCCCAATGATGTGCAACGCAAAGTTCGTGGCGACCTTCGCCAGCCTCCTCGCCTCCGCGAGCGCAGGCCCCAGCGTCCGCCTCGACAACGGCCTCACGGTCCAGGGCCGCATCGCCCCGGACGCGTCCAACGTCGCCGAGTTCCTGGGCATCCCGTACGCCGCGCCGCCCCTCGACGACCTCCGCTGGGAGCCGCCCCAGCCGTACGTCGTCCCGCAGTCGAGCAACGCCTTCGCCAACGCCACCGTCCTCAACGCCACCGCCCTGCCCCCCTCCTGCTGGCAGTACATCTCCATCCACCCGGCCATCCAACGCGTCGACGTCCCCGAGTTCATGATCGGCGCCGCCGGCATGGACGAGGACTGCCTGACCGCGAGCGTCTGGGCCCCCGCCGGCGCCGTCCCCGCCGTCTCCGGCAGCGAGACGACCGCGAACGGAACCGACGCCGGCCTGCCCGTGATCATCTGGTTCTACGGCGGCGGCTTCGAGACGGGCGGTACCGACGTGCCGTACCAGATGCCGCAGAAGTGGATCCAGCGCTCGCAGGAGCACATCTTCGTCACCTTCAACTACCGCATGAAGCTCTTCGGCTTCCCCAACTCTGCCGCCCTGACGGAGCAGAACCTCGGCCTGCTCGACCAGCGCTTCGCCATCGAGTGGGTGCGCGACAACATCGCCAAGTTCGGCGGCGACGCCTCCAAGATGACGCTCTGGGGCCACTCCGCCGGGTCCATCGCGGTCGACTACTACAGCTTCGCGTACCCGCAGGACCCCATCGTGCGCGGCCTCGTCATGGACTCGGGCACTGCCCACCTGGACCAGCTGATGAGCCACGACGACATCCAGTCCAACTTCACCTTTGTCGCGCAGCAGCTTGGGTGCGGCAACCAGACCACCGCGGAGGCGGAGCTGGCGTGCATGCGCAAGATCCCCGCCGAGAAGCTCGAGAACTTTGTGGCTACGTACAAGGACTCTGGGGTCACCCCGTCCATTGGCTTCTCGCCCGTGATTGACAACAAGATTGTGTTCGCCAACTACACTGAGAAGGCTGCTCTGGGCGAGTTCTCTGATCTGGTAGGTTAACCTCCGTATTCGGGGAAAAGGATTGTGAGAAACTGACTCGGAACAGCCCGCCATCATCGGCTTCAACCACGACGAGGGCCTCTTCCTCGCCCCCTACAACGTCAGCGGTCCCGACCAGGCCGTCGCCGACCAGCTCTCGTACCAGTACTTCTGGTGCCCCGCCACCAAGACCACCAAGTAAGCCCCCTTTGCCTCTCACTCCCTCAGAGCATCAACTGACAAATCTCCACAGCGAACGTCTCGCCGCCGGAAGAACGACCTACCGCTTCTTCTACGCCGCAGTCTTCAACAACACCTCGCCCCGCCCGTGGATGGGCGCCTACCACGGCAGCGAGCTGCCCATGATCTTTGGCACCCACGCCGACTTCCGCGGCAACTCGACCCCCTTCGAGTACGAGCTCAGCCACGTCATGGAGGACGCCCTGACGACCTTTATCAAGGACTCGACTGCCGGACTCGACGCCATCGGGTGGCCTGTGTACACGGCCGAGGACCGCGAGGTGAGGACCTACGGGGAGAACAACGCCACCGTCGGACGCAGGACCCTGGCTTCTATCGAGCAGGGCTGCGCTGACCAGGGGCTTTTGTAATTCGATGTATATATTACATGTTGAAATACAGTTGACAGAGGAAAGATAAAACAACTTCGTTCTCGACTCGTATCGAGGTGTCTCGGTCGTCACTTAGTGCAGAACTAGGGTGGACGATTCATGTTGCTATGACCTGATATCAGCAGGAAGACGTTACCAAATGCGATCTACAAAAGCCTTTTGCGGATGCAGAGGGAGGGAATATACAAACGAGCTGTCTTTTGAGAGGATCCGTCGGAGAAAGCTCTGGGAATCTCTCAACCCCTTCACCAGCTTTCAATCCCTCTCTTTGTCTGGCGAAGCTTCTGGAACGGGAGCTAGAATTGAAGCACTGGATGCTCAAAAACCTTCGAAAACATCACCTTTGAGTGAGCTCTGCATGTCTAAGTACCGAGCTTGGAGCTTTCGCCCTCGCACAGCTGCAGTAGACTGCTCCCCGTCAACGCGGCTGGTGATGGTGCAGCAGAGCGGCTGAGTCGTTACCATGGCTCACCAACGCTTAGTCGTCACACATCTTGGCCAACCAAGAGGTTTGTTTACTTTTCTCGCGGACTTTGGAAATTCAGAGAGCAACCTACTGCCACCACCATCATCAAACGACGCCGTCTTGACATCCCTCAAGCACTACCTTCGACGTACCAGGTCGTCAGTATTGCGTCCGCCATCATGTTTAGAGTAGATACTGATTGTTCAGAGGGATACGATGGACGACCGAAGCCAGCGCCAAGAGGGCGCGGTCCCTGCCGGCACCGACACCGACAGTGCCAGCAGCGACGCCATCACCACGACCTACCCTGAGGCTAATTCCGGCGACGACACCCGCTCCGATGGTCACGCAGAGCAGACGGAAGAGGACGAGACCAACGACGATGATGGCATCCCCCGCACTGCCGCCGGCCGCCGCTTCGCCACCAGCCCCATCCATCCCGACGCCTCAACATCGACGCACTACTGCAGCCGCTGCCGGAAGACGCGGTACCGGTGGTGGTTCGAGCGCTTCCCCACCAAAGACCCTCGCAACCTGCGGGGCGCCGGTATGCAAGTCTAGGCATCTTGCAACCAGTGCGTGTGGCAGCAGGCGAAAAAGGACCCGGGCGACTGGGTCGAGGAAAACTGCCCGTGGCTCTTTGACGGGTTCTGTCCCTGCCACTGGCATGATCGCGGACACCACGACTACGGGTTCTGTCCCTCGTCGGGTCGGAAGCCTTTCAAGCTTGTGAAGTATACTGATACACACGAGGGAAACTTTACGCAGATGCTGGTTGGGGATAGCAACTATGCCAAGCTGTTTCCCACCGGAGAGACCCAGGCCGGAGATCAGGACCAGACTTTGAGTGAGATACACGGTGTGGCCAAAGACTTGGGTCTCGACGGCGAGATGCTCGTCGACAACATAGATGCTCAGAAGCCCCCAAACGACCGAGTATGCAGAGCAGACGCAGCAGGGTGGCATGGACATGATGGTCTCTGAGAGCGCCGATACCGAGGGTGTTTCTACCGGCGAGGCTCATGGCCAGACTCAGAATGATGATGTCCACGATGAGGAAACCCTTCTGGGTTTCGGACCCATCGTTGAGTATGTTCGTGCCCAAGAATCGGCTGAGGACTCTGAGCAGCACTACCTCACTTGAGATCGCTACGAGCACACCAATGACCTGACCAGGGCTTCTGCTTGGCCGCTCATCAGTGTAAGTCGCTCGCCCTCATGTGCCATCGATATTGTTGTCGGTTCATGGACCCCAAACACCGCGTGACCAGTATCCGGGCGTATGAAGGAACTAACCTCAAGCCACTCTGCAGAGACACGACATGCGACTGGCCTACTTGCCGCCAATGCTTGATTGGCTGACGGAAGTCTAACCGGTCCAACACAGTACGCTGTCGACGAGAAGGGCAATCGGGGGTTCCGTACGGTAGACCATTAGCGCAGCGTGCCGCGGTACCGACGAAGCATCGATGTACCATCCAGAACCCGGGACCGTGGTACACGATGGACGCAAAGTGCAGAAGGAAACGACGCTACTCGGCGGTGACAGGTCTTGGGGGAGGGTCTGAGTATAGAATGTTCAGCAAACGAGTATCAATCAAAACCTGGCTCTCTCTCCCTTCGATACCAGGCACACGAGGGATCGAGCCGTGAGCTCACAACCCCTGCCTTAGTCAAGTGAGACAGGATCCAACGCCAAGAGGCCGTCCCGGATGGCAAGGAGCTGAGTAGAGAGGTTCGGCCGAGGCTGGCCGAGCGGAGAACCCCCGGTTGGGGAAGACAGGGCGATGATTCGCGCGGAACTCCACTGCCAGAAGTGCCCTGCGCCGAGAGGCAGCAGAGCCGTTGCATGGCCGGGGTAGGCGGCATGTTGGAAGTCTGGAGCCGAAGGTCAGGGCCTATTCCCTGTCCAGACCACATCGTGCAGGGAGACGGTGCTTCTTTGCTGGGGCGATCGGGTGGTGGGTGAAATTGGGCCATCCTGAGTTCGTAGATGCACGAGACTTAAGAAGAAGATGATGGTTGGATGTGGCAGAACGAGATTGATGCTCGTAGACAATTTGCGCCAACAGGTACTGTTTGGTCGTGTGCCGGATCTACATCCGCGCAGGCAGAATACGAAGGAAGCAAACTGATTGCTGATCGAGTGACTGTTTGCTTCATGTTTTGTTTGCTCGTCAGACCGGAAGAGACCGGGCAGGCGGTGGATTCTCCCGCTGCTGGTCCAGCCAGACTCCCGTTACCTAAGCTTTCCGAGGTAGTACGTACCGTCACATCTCATTGAACCTTTGGAAATTGGCACAGGTAAGGGGTTGCTTTCAGGATCTTTCAGGACCGACCTGCAGCTGCAACTCCCCCAATGTCTCGCGTTTCTGGGCTGTTTGCTTCTTTTAGGCCAACATCAAGTCCTTCTCTCCGCACCGAGAGGGGAAAACGAGGGGAAGTTGGAGGGTGACAGACAGCAGGTGTGTTTGGGATGAATGATGAATGATGAAGAAGAGGGTGTGGTGGTGGTGTTGGTGTTGGTGCAGGTTGGGGAACCTATCTCTCCAACTTCAGCGCATCTTCCACTGGCTCCAGCGACTCCTCAGCGGCTCCAGACTCCAGTGCGGCCCATCACGCCACTAAATCCCCAGACTTACCCCACATCATCCCCCGAGCCTCGCTTAGCCCGCGCTAGTCCCCTTCGGACGGGACTAGTCCCATTTGAGGGATGATGGCCCCACCGATCTCTTCCGATCCACGTCCAGGCCAGTCCTTAGCTTCCTTCCTTCGTCCGGCCACACCCCATCTCCATCCCATCAATTTCCATCTCCATGAAAAGTTCCACCAATCGAGCCATCCTCTCGCCAGCAACCATTTCCCAGACCAGCCCAGGATCAGTCAAGCTTCGAGAATCTGTCGTCCGTCCTCCTCCGGCGCGTCGCCTTCGAACCAGCCCACCCCAAGTCAACCCTGCCAAAGGCCCCCAAGAGTCGCCAGAGTCCCCTAGAGTCGACGGTCCGACGTCCCTAATCCGCCGCCTCCCCACGACGCTTTCGACGCCTCAGACGAGCATCTCTCCCACCCAAGCCTGGCCCTGGCAGCCGAATCCCTCGGCCTCGTACCGTCGCCGTTCTCTCCCCTGCTCGCACCCGTTGGCTCCTCCGCCTTTGTCTGGCCACTCAGGCCTCGCCAACCCCCTTCGACCTCCTCCGCAGTTGTCTCCCTCCGGCCTCTGCAACCAGTCATGGCCCTCCAAGACCGTCAATCCCGCCGCTAGCCCCCCGGGCCCCCGATCGCCTTTCCACTCACTGCGGGTTGCGGTTCGCACATGGCCTGCCTTTCTGTTGCCGGTCCCGTGAGTACGGCCTGACTTGGGCCCAAGCGGCATGGTCTTCTGGTACGGCACAGTCATGGATTCCCTAAGTCGTCTGATTGGGGAATGGCTGGCAAGGGCCAAGCTTGGGGAAGCGAGCATGCTCTCCACGGGGATGGGGATCGAGTGGTTGCAATTCCATCCCATGCTGCTGCTGCTGCTCTGTTGCTACCATGCATTCTGCAACCATGGTATGAGACGCGCGAGAAGCCGGCCGTCTGGGACCAGCGTTGATCTCGCCTCGACGCACTTTAAAATACCCCAACCGCCCCTCCCCCAGCTCACCCTCTGATCGGCCTTCTCTTCTCGATACGACTCTGCTTCAGGAGCTTGCCAACCGTCAACATCTTCAAGCAACCGGGACAATCCAGTAGCCATGTCTCGCGACATCAATACGGCCTCCCAGCCGCACGACGCCATCCACATGGAGAAGGGCGCTCCCAATATCAGCCAGTACAACGATGTCGCCCTCGATGACAAGGTCCTCAACTCCGAAGCCGCCCAGGCTACCGACGTCGAACACAGCTTCAGCGTCTGGGAGGGTCTGAGGACTTACAAGCGCGCCGCCTTCTGGTCTATTCGTGAGTCTCCGCGCCTCGTTCCGAGTTGTCGGCGCAAGAACTAACATCACCGCCAGTCATCTCAACGACCGTCATCATGGAAGGCTACGATGTCACTCTTCTCAGCTCGTTCTACGGCTACCCAGCATTCCGATTGAAGTACGGTGAATTCCTCGATGACGAGCACGGATACCAGATCTCCTCCATGTGGCAGCAGCGCTTCAACTGTCTCGGTGCCCTGGCCAACATTATCGGCGCTCTGCTCAACGGATACCTCACCCCCAAGATTGGCCACCGCTGGATTCTCATCGGGTCACTTTTCTGGCTGAGCGCGTTCGTCTTCGTCGTCTTCTTTGCGCACAACATCGAGGTGCAGTTGGTCGGCCAGGTTCTGTGCAACGTCCCCTGGGGTGTCTTTGCTACCACCGGTCCAGCCTACGCTGCTGAGGTCACGCCATTGGCCATTCGTGGTTACCTCACTTCATACGTCAACCTTTGCTGGTGTATCGGCCAGTTCATCTCTGCCGGCGTCCTCAAGGGTCTCGTCAACCGAACCGACCAGTGGAGCTACAAGATCCCCTTCGCCATTCAATGGGTTTGGCCCATCCCTCTGGCAATCGCCGCGTACCTGGCGCCCGAGTCTCCCTGGCATCTGGTGCGCGCCGGTAAGCTCGAGCAGGCCAAGAAGTCCCTGGAGAGACTATCGGAGCCGGAGCACAACCTCAACCATGAGAACACGATTGCTATGATGGTCCACACCAACAAGCTCGAGATCCAGGAGCAGGCGGGCGCCAGCTTGTTCGACTGTTTCAAGGGCACAAACCTGCGCCGTACCGAGATCGCCTGCATGGCTTTCATGTCCCAAATCACCAACGGTGGCGCGCTCTGCTACTCTGGTTCCTTCTTCTTCCAACAGACCGGTATCGGGGAGGACGCCTCGTACGGCATCAGCTTGGGAGGCACCGGTATTGCCTTCATTGGTACCATTATCTCGTGGTTCTACATTTACAAGCTTGGTCGTCGCACCATCTGGCTCGCCGGCTTTGCTTTCCTCGTTCTCATCCTCTGGATCATCGGCTTCTTGTCCGTCGCCCCCAATCAGAAAGGAGGCATCATCTGGGCGCAATCCCTTCTCTGCATCGTCTGGCTCGGTGCCTACTCCATGTCCGTCGGCCCCATCGTCTACACGCTCGTGTCCGAGGTCGGATCTACACGTCTCCGTACCCAGACTGTCGTGCTGGCTCGCAGCACATACTACGTCGGCAACGTCATTTGCGGTGGCCTGATTCAACCCAAGATGCTCGCGCCCGGTGACTGGAACTTGAAGGGAAAGACTGTAAGTTATCAAAACCCCCGTTCTTTGTCATAACATGAACTAACTCGCCACCAGGCGTTCTTCTGGGCTGTTCTCGCGACTCTCACTCTCATCTGGGGATACTTCCGTCTATTCGAGACCAAGGGCCGTACGTTCGGTGAGATGGATGTCATGTTCCAGAAGCGAATCTCGGCCCGCAAGTCGGCCAAATACCAGCTTACCCAAGATGAAGTCTTCTTGGCCGAACAGACCCACGATGTCGGAGGCCGGACAGAGAAGATCTGACCTGTCGTCTGACTACACTCTCAAAGATACCCGGCCCTAACCGAGGGTTGCTGCAATTTATTGTTATTTATACCAATAAGGAGGCGGTCATCTGCTAAGATGACGCCTCCGCGCTGATTGAAATCTAATACCCATCATGAAATCACCACATTTGATGCAATCAATTTCAGTCATGCCTCCCGTTTGTGACATCTCATCTTGATGCGCTAACCTCAAAATATCAATGAAGAACATGCAACAGATTCTTTGCCCACCGTCGCTACTCAACCTCGGTATGCCAGTGTGGTGCCAGAGAACTTGCGGCATTCCTGTCAATGATTGACCCAAAGCAGGATGAATCGAACGTCGTAGAAATTTATGCAAGGTGCAAGTCCTTTCATTACATTAAGACATCATGGAAGAAACTCTATCATCAACCGTCACCGTCTACTCAATTCTCCAATCGCAGAACCTCAAATGCCGGGGTCTCGAAGACGTCCCAGTTGTCTGAGGCTTCTGGGTTTCCGAACGGGAAAAGAGCAGCGAACCGCATCTTGTACTTGCCCGGCGCAATTTGAGTGCCGTTCGCCAATCGTCCGAGCCACCACAGCTCTGTACCATACAAACCTACGATGTCTCTAGGCACA